AGTATCTTCATTGATGATTTTTTCAAAATTCTATCTAATTTCTTATAATTTGATACCATTCTTGGACATACAAACATTATGTTGAGTTCCACGGTGTGCACATAAAGAATTTTCGAAATCAAAGCTTACATACTTGTACGTCAAGGGTACGATTCAAATCTGAACTTGATCATGAGTAGTAAACCTTAAATGTGAAAAGACATATCCATATCTTAACTGCAAGAACACATATCGGTTATTGAAAATCATTTATGCTCTTAAAAATAAATGATTATCAGATATATACGTGAAAATATTTACTATTTCATATTGATTTTAGGTTCTGAAATGAAAGCACGTATGTATCGTTCACCAGAAGTCATTGAAGCGGAAAAGATGTTGGATCAACTTGCTTTAAATTTGAAAAAATCTGAAGTCAAACGAGTAAGTTTAGTTTTTTGATAGAGAATGTTGTGACAGATAATTCATTTTTTCAAATAACTTTCGGTAATATAGTTAGATGTACGGTTTACTCAAGAAATTGAAAATTTTACAAATATATACTTGTGATTTGTCAAGTGCTCCTGATATTCTTGAATACGTAACGCGTACGTTATGATCCAAAGTACTCTAACCAACTAAGAATTAAAAAGAGGACAAAAGAACAACCTCTACAGAGTTTCAAGGCAGGTGAACTGAATTGTGTTTAGTAGTTGATTTAGGAGAATCTACTCAATGATTTAGTGGAGAAACAGCTAGCCAGACACAAATGACCGATAGGTGGTCAGAAAATGTATTTTCAACAAAATCTATAGAATAAGTATATAAACTGCACTAGTTTAATAAGGTTAATGAATTTGTCACTGTAAATTAATTCAATTTAACTTAAAATAGTAGGAAACATTAATAAAAATGTTCAGCTTTATAACTGAAGATTCCCATATCTATATACTCGACCAAACCAGCCATGTACTAATAGTATGTCATTTTAATACACGGAACAACATCTGGATAACCCAATTGTTTTCATAAAATAATTATTCATAATCAACGAATGTTTGATCATATTTTGAATGACGCGGTAAGTTTTGGTTTGACGATAATTGGTCTTTGAAATCCCATCCCATAAATGTAACATGTAAATAAACAAATGATACAGAGGTACTTAATTACATTTTATCAACAGAAGTAACCAGGTGTTCAGGATAATTTAACACTTGATTTACACTGAAAGCTTAGCAATATGTAGATTTGTAAATGTATACAAAAAGAAAAATTCCAAAGATTCGCTACAAAATGTAATCAAAGTTTGAACTCACACAGCGATATCCGTAACCCATTTGTAGACTTAATTTGCTATGAGTTTTCAGTAAAATAATTTTCAATCAACTGAACGAGTATAAAGATTAATTGAATTAAAAAAAGATAAAAGTATCTTAGGACAATATTATTATGTGAAAAAATTGAAATATTTTAAATGTTAAACTAGTTTTTGGTTTCTATTCACTAATGGATTAACTAAATAAATACCTTTTTATGTATACACAATGTTCGAATGAAAATTTGTGGATAATCACTAGAAAGTCAAACGGATATCTAAAATAAGAACTATGAGAAAATAAACTTCTAATAAGATAATTTAGAATTCTTTAAAAAAATACATCACATACTGCTTCACAGATCTTTTTAACAATTAAGATCTAATTAAAAGATGAATATTTGAACGAAGAATATTCTTTTAGATAAATTCTTTTCAGGTTCTACAATAATATATATCCAAATTAATAATCCAATAAACAACCAGGTTAAAGGCAAAGTGCATTGTTCCACTCATAAAGACCATAGAAGATATATGTGAACAATTGAGTGAAAATGAAATTGAAACGTTCTAGAAATTTACACCTTCGTGCTTGCAAACACCTCCCAGTGTAACTAAGCAAAGTCTGGTGAAGAAAGTGAGCAGTTCATTATTGGCCTATTTAGTTCAAGTTGACCAATAGTACCAGTATAAAACAATCAAATGCTACCACTATGAAACGAACTATTTTAAGGAAAGATGAAGGTTATCTATAGTAACGGTTATTTATTTAATAAATTTCAATTGTTTCTTATCATAATAATTAATCGTTTCAGTTCAGATAACAACCATAGACAAACAATTCTACAAATATAAATAAAGTTACTAGGTCGATTGTACTTCTTTGCTTAAATTTGAAATAATCGGAATTATAATTCTTAATTTTATCAGTAAACCACATTAAGAAACACTTAATATAATATTTCTATATGAAGTGAAAATTAGTATGAAACCCAGTTCACTTTAACACAATGTTTTCTCTGTTTATATGTATTTTCATATTGTAATATTAATGTTTTGATATTTGTAGCCTTTGGTAAATGGTGGTCATCAAAATGATTTAGCTTAATGCTAGCGCGAAAAACTTCAGTGCACAAACTCATTTTGATATCAATGAAGTACATTGACTATCATATTTAAAGTTGATATGAAGTAAATTATTCTATTTACAAACGTTTATTTACTACATGACATCAATTACAAACAATTAAACTTTGATACATTGTGCATTTAAAAAAAACATAGAAGATAATAACTATCACATTCTATACAAAGAATTTGACATTTTCATCATGTATTTATATTTATATTAAGCTTCTCTTATCTTCTATCTTCCTTGTTTATTTCTTTCTTTATCATTTAATTTTCAGTAGTATTTTTTGATCATGTTTAATTTTAAGCATTTAGTTAAACTATCATATAGTGCTCGCGAGTAACATTGACATGGAATACTAAAAAAAACAAACGATTTTTCAACTAATATTAAAATTAACTGATTTATTATTCGAATTAATGGCTTCTGCTTATTCTTACAATTATATAGTTAATTCAATTCAACTGATCACATTTATTTGTTCATGTGTTTAGATCTAAAAAGAAACACACAGGCATTTATTTATATATGCTTGATAATCTTTCAATTAATGGAATATAAACATATTTATTCCATTATAACACAATGATTATAATCAGTATTCAATTTAAACGAATTGTGAATAACATTAAAACAAATATCTACTTTAAATATTGAACAATATGACATGCATATTTAAAATGTTCAATTTATTCTGTTACAATGTTTATTTAACAGTTTGTCTTTGAATTTATTTTCATTCATGGAAAAAAAAATAGATAAAAAAGGATTATCATTAATATAATACTAAGTTTTATAATGAATATATATGTCATGAGTTAAGTTGATCACTAGTAGTTTACTGTAATCATAAAATACTTCTTTGAAGGCATTCATTAAATTTTTAGCAGTTTAAGAAGCCCGTTCAGCATATTAGTAAAAGTATTCAAAATAACTAGTATACAATAAAAATATTATGCGTGTAATGAAATACTGGCAATTTGTAATTGTATGTAGTATGGTAAATTCAAAGAACCAATCCAGTACATTTATCCCTAACATAAAAGAACTATCTCATATATATATATATATATATATATATACCCAGTATTAATTTAAGTAATATGCTGTACTAATATTATCGATAACTCATTCATTTGAATACTAAAAGCTTAAATAACAGAGATTTTTCATACTTCTGAAAATACAAGTGGAAACATCAGTAGCTAAATAGATAACGTGATGGCGTTTAAAGCGAACGACACTGGGTTCGAGTACCAGAGTAAACACTAAGACTGAGATGAAGGTGCATCGAGCTGACGAGTCTGAAATAAGACAAAATGCGCGTCCTGGATTCCACTGTTAGCCATTATCCATCTTTGCATATAATACTTGTGAATTAAGGCTATACCGAGACAATACGAACAGTATGCACATGTGCCAATAAAAGACTAATCAATTGTATTCCTAAACATCAATTTGAAGATTCAAGTAAACAATAACACGTGAATTCAATTATTATTTATTTTACAATTATGTATAATGTACATTATATACTGAGATGAAATTAAAATCATGATACACATGACTATTTGAAATGTTTATGAATTGTATATTAGTTTTACTTAACTTCAAGATAAACAACAATAAGTTACAAAAACACAACAACAACTATCCAAAAAAGTTAAACCAACTTCATTATCACTGAATACAATGTTTCAGCGATTTGATTGTATGCACATATTTATCATATATGAAAGTTCAGTTTTTACACGATAGTCTTGTTCTTACATTTTGTAACAAAATTTACTAATTACCATTTCTGATTTAAGAATATTCAACTAATCAGTATTCCTAGAATTCATCTATAAGATAACGTACAATCGTACAGTAGAACAAGTTGCTGTATTCAGTTAAATGGAAATAAATTTCGAAACACGACGAACAAATTATGCGAATAATTTTGCCTTGCTATTATTTTCCAATGGAAAAAATGATTAAATTCAAACCATTTGGGTCTTCATCTAATCTATTCGTGAAATCATAAATGAATAAAACATAAGTAAGAAAGATCAGGCTACACTAGAAGTGTTTGTCTTCATTTTACGATGAGAAATTATATTCTTTTGGATGAAACTTATCAAGCTTTCACTGACTCTATTATTATTATTATTATTATCAAATCACAAAAACAACTCTGATTTGACACTAATTCAACATATTTCACAGAACTGATGTTTTTGTTGAAAATCAACAGCTTAACCAAAAGAGAGCTGTGCAATAATCAAATACAAGAGCTTTCCAAAGAGAGTTAACCAGCCACGCTAATAAAGAATGATTGTTTAAACGTTACTTTGACTCACCAGGTTATTAAATTATTAAGTATATGGGGTGGATGAAACTTTTGCATAAAAACAAACTATATTCCTTGATTAACACATATTACGTTAAGGTATTATAGTATTGAGCAAACTGGTTTTCAATTTTTGGAACTAGTTGAAAATCTACTTTTAAAGTTTATTTTGAATCTCGATGAAAAGCATGTTTTAATTTTGTTTTTTTTTAAACTTTTGACCTTCTACCAATTCTTTTGTGCTTCATCGTAAATAGCTTAACGACAACGTATAACCTATCATCTCCACAACTTCCAAACTTATTTTTAATGTCTATGAAGGTAACTTTGTACATCTAAGGTCTCGTCAAATACTCTATCATGCGGAAGAACATTTGCTGTACTGTCATACTAATAATAGATTTTTGAGTAACTTGATATTATTCGGTCAAAAACTACGTGTAAAATCAATAGCGGGCATAAGTTGGTGATTCGATACACATTCAAAGATATATTTAGTTACATTAGTAAGTTCATGCAAGATTTTGAATATTCAATAGTACTAATCCAAGTGATCCTTTTTTTTCTTCTTCTTCACAGTTAGGAATTTCATTCACAATTATTTTAGTATTTTCAATACAGAAAAACTAATTACAATAAGTAACAGATCTCATATTTCATTGTTAACATTTCTTAGAAATTATATGAGTTACGTACATTAACGAAACCTACAAACAACATAGCTTATTTTGAATACGTAGACAATCGAGAGATATAGTACAAGGTAATGAATAAGCATCATACTAATAAGTTTTGCTTACATTTACATTTTGTTAAGATGATTTCGACTTAGACTCTCTTTCTTATTTAGCCTTTATTTCCAACATAAATTACAAATGATTATTTAGAACACTGTACTCAATTATGAACTACATTAGTATAAACTATCAGTCTGAAATTAGTCAATAATTCTACTATATATTTATCAAATCTAATTAATTTTAATGAAACATTTATTGAAAAATATATTTAACAGATTATATGATGAAATTATTTCAGACAGTAGTAACACTTTTAATAGCCTAATTCAATTATCAATATGTTGATGATCATCGACGTTACATAGAATCATAACAAAGTTATTGGTCTATTTCATTTGATAATGACCAAAGTTACATTTATCATACATTTGTAAAAGTATTTCACCAACATAACTTAAAACTGAAAATATTCACAACATTTAAAAAGGTAATCTAATTTGTTTATTTAAATGTAATGTAACATAATATATTTAGAAAAACAATTAAAAGATTAAACATGTAAATAAATTGATCGACTCAATATGATAAAACATATACACTAATTAAATATATATGGATATATATCTATTAAGAAGTTACATTAAAATAAGTTTCATCCATCCCCCAGATATTTTCAATACGACACATAATAAGATTTGATTGATTTAACATAGAAGAATATAATTCAGTTCTCAAAGGATAGCAATTATTCATATGCTCACATTCAAACCACTTAATATATCCTGCCGGTTTGCCTTGTGTATTTATCGGACAGGTAAGTGAGTGTTGAGAAATAGCCTCAAATGAATTGGTATTAGTTTTTTGAAGTTCTGGCGGAAAACCTACAGATATGTTGAATTTATATAGTTCAATAAAATTGTTATCATAATTAATACCACAAATCCAGATTCCTGTGTGAATATGAGGATTTGCTTGTTCAATTATTAGATATTCAGAAGTTGCCTGAAAAATCTCTTCTCTAAAGTAAGAAATATAAAGAAATTTTGTTAACTAGCGTTATAAATCATTTGAACAATATCTAAGTGGTAGAAGAATTAATAATCTCAATTCTAATAAATTTGAATCAGAATATTTACTATCATCTGTGAAAGACATTCACTTTAAACTACGTATCATAACTGAGTAGTCATTAAAACTTTATAACTGACTTTGAAAAGCAATTCCCAAAGACCTTGGGAGAAACTGTGAACATTGAGATTCAGCCATGCCGAGTATAATTTAGTCGCCCATTGATGACGTTAAACGATGCTTGCCCAATATCGAGGAATAATAAAACTTGAACGATTACACCACTGGTTTATAGTCTAAAGCTTAAACTGTTGAAATGGTACCAATAGTTCTGAATTTAATACATATGTCATCCCTAACGCGTATTACTGAGGTGTTCCATACTAGGGCTAAATATCTGTGTACGAATTCCTGATTTATAAAAAATGTCTGTTTAGTTTCAGTTGATAATGTAATCTATGAAGTTAAACAATCTTCAAAATACCCCTTTACAGTATAGCTTAAAATCCCTTAAAGTACATTGAATAGGAAGTAAGCATGTGTTAACGTGTAAGTTGATATGAAATTGTAGGTAAACACTTACTTATTTTTCTTCCATATAGTGTCGCCTAAATATTGATGATGGGGACAACTGAGAAACACCAATCCATCTTTCGGTACCATGATCGTATCATGTAACGATACTGCATTTTGAGAACTCTTGGCAAGTATTTTATTTGGTTGTATAGAAACTACATTTAAAATAACAGTAGCTTTAGCATATTCTGTAGTTTCTAAATCGGAAGCTTCACAAACCCATCCTCCTGTATGAAACTGATTTTTAGTATTTTGTAGTAGTAAATGTGATATCCAAATATTTTTATCTTTAGAATAATGATGAACTGTCACTGGATACCTAAAAATTCGATAGGAATTTTAAAGTTAACCTTAGCGTAGAAAATGCATCTTTCAATCAGGCGACATCTTAATTTGTTTACCATTGAACTATCAGAGAAGATTTATATTAATGTTTGTTGAAAAAAATATTTTCAAACTATTATGACTAAACAGTATATGATTGTGAATTATACTCCCGGATTATAGGAAACGTCGACCACTTGTTTATAGTGTAAAATTACTTTATAGAAAGATTTGTTTAATGTGAGACTACATTTTATCGAGTGAAACTTTCATATTGAAGTCGTTGAGTTCCAGAAACTGCAAATAATTGATAAACCAAATGCTGTTGAGAAAAACACTTCAGAACGTCGTGATTTGTTTCTACAAAAGCATCGAGAGTATAATGTTCGTGTAAACCAACTTAAAACAGTCCTACAGAAAAGTTCATTTTTGTGCCGAGAACCAAATATTTCTGTCTAGTATTTAAGTAATGTCCACTGGTTATAAAGGAGCTAATAAACCTGTTCAGATTCACTATCGTAGGTAAGTAATACTCTACTGAAACGAATTTGTGTCAACATAATAATCATCTTCAACCAGGTAATCAGTAAAAATCTTTTGATAATAGGCAACATGGCTACGTAGACCATTGTATTTTCATCGTTACCTTAGTTGTAGAATAACATTTATTATATAAGCCTATCTACTGTCCTTGCAATTTACTTGAAAATAACAGGTTAACCAATGCTTCCAATTTGTCCTTACAAGTTTACTAAACGTTACTAACAGCATTATACTGATTTATATTAACAATAACTTGATAATATATAATGGCATGAAGAGTAAAACAAATTATCTTTATTTAAGCGCTATTCGAGCCAAATAAATTTAACATGTATAAAATATTAGAATGATCGACTCGTATTATAGAATACTATAACTAAATTACGATAAATTTGGTGTCTAATTAACCTGATATCTATGAACTCATATTGTATGCATTGTAAGTTTAGTGTCCACTTTGTCCACTATAACTCAGATCACTTGAATGTAAATACTAAACATTCCACTTTTCTCATATTAAAGGCGAGGTATATTCAGTAAAGTTTTACACCCTTCAACATTATATAATACCTTCAATCATTGTTTTTATCGACAAATTTGTCTCACATCCGATGGTGATTTTAAAGTCGAAGTATTTTTGTAGACTATCGAGTGGAAACAGACTGATGATGGCAGAGTACGACTGCTGGTTTAAATGATTTTTAGAGCTTGACAATCCTTCAGAAATCCATTAATTCTTCAGTAATGTGTTGCATAGCACAGAAATTTTCAGCAAAAAACATTAAAAAAAGTCTAACAAGATGTCTAAACTAATCCTATTTTTTCATAGAAATATGGTGTGATATACCAAATACTGAAATATTTCTAGCCTAAAGTACTTTGTCATGTCAAGATAAATTCTTCTTGCACTTATACTGATAGTTTTACAAGGTGAATCAAATTACGAACAAGTGATCTAAAATTGTAAATACGATTCATCAACATAGTTCTCTGGCAAAGCTAACCTTTTTCCTGATAGTATATGAATCCATTGAACATGTGGTTTGTTTTGAGATACGACCCAACATGGGAGTTTAATTTGTTCATTTTCTAACACATCTAATGTCAAAGTTTTCTTAAAATTTGACTGGTCGAAAGAATGTGTGACAGCTTGGAATATCTTGTGGTATCTAAAAGTGAATACAAATAATCCCAAACAGGGAGGGAGAATATACTTCACAATTACTACTTTAGTTGTTGACTGTGTTGACCAAAGAATATATTATATAAACGTTACAAACAAGTAGATTTGTACTGCTATTCATCTTCATTCGTATGTGTGACCCAACATATTTATTCATATATCACAGTCACTAAATCATTCCTGTATGAGATTAAATGGTTAGAATTAACTTACATCAGGCCGTTGTCTCAGATTCCTATCTCGTTCTCAAGTGAGTAAGCTATTTTCACCAAATCGCAGTTGCATAGACATGCTTGTTAAATTTCGAAGAAATCTAAGTGACTATACAAGTCAATAAAGATGGTTTTCATCAAAAACCGTTGTATTCTTTGTTAGAACTAATTTAATTTTTTATTACTCTGAAACTTTAAAATGTGTAAGTATACGCTACATTTGCACACCTATTTTTTAGAATGTAACATATCTAGTCGATATTGCATTAGTTCCTATTTATAAAACTTATAAAAAGGGATACTTATAAAACTATATAAGACAAAAGAATGCAAATTCTTAAATCAAATCAGTTTGTGGGAAATTAATATGCTTTTGTTAAAGTTTAACTTACCGCTTGTCTGTTATCATCTTGTAGTTTAATGTTGGATAAACTAAATCATTTAAGTTACCTTCGAAAAAAGAAAGAAATTTTATTTAGTGTTAAATTAAAGTTAAATATGCTTTGTCATGATGTAATACATATAACCAGAAGATATATCCAGTTACGTCTCAGTTATAAGTAAATTATAAGATTTGTGAATGGACAAAGTGTTGTGGTATGTGCTATTTATATCGACATAAGTAGTATATAACTCTAGTGACAAATAGAATGTCTAGCAGTAGAAGGTTGAGAAGACGGAGGAGGGAAGAACGGGAACAGAAAGCAGTTGGTATGGAAATGCAGGAACAATGAAGTCTGAGACAATTAATGAACATTTTGTAAATGAAGTACTACAGTATGGTTTTACTATTTTACCAAGCAACTGTGTAATTTTATGCTAAATGTAATCGGTTGTCCTCACCTGTGTTCTCCTTCACTACTATTGTAAAATGAAAATAAATTAGAAAATTAATCTTTTCAGTGTTTAAAAATACATGTAATAAGTGCTTTAACATGGATTTCAATATCAAGAAGCATATTATTGAAGAGTTTTGAAGTAAGACAAACCTGTTCCGTACAACAGGACATTCAAGTAGTACGCTTTAGATCAAAATTCTGAAAAAATGTAATTCAATAGTGTATTACCTTTTAAAGACTGACAGTCTTACAAAAAATGGTGTAATTAAATCTCCTTGTTCAAGAATACTATAACAGATTTTCATCAATAATAGTTGGATACTATTGAGAAAATAACATTTCATAAGAATTATAAAAATATTTATAACTGAAAGTTACCGATTCAAGTTAGAACAGAACAAAATCCATTAGGGATTTTTCGATATGTAGAAAACTAAAGTTTGATTAAACAGTAGTACATCACATCATAATGTATTATTTGGAAACAAACTATTCACTGTTCAAGTTAATCGATAGTCATTAAAGAGCAGAAGGAAATTAATACTTATATTTACTAAGTAAAATCTAGATTCATGTGGTCGTAATAGATTTCTTACTGCATACTTAAAAATCTAGTCCATTCTGAACTTGTAATTTATGGTGATAAAGAATTTGTATGAATTATTATGACTTAAAATAATATTTACTATTTGTATCTGTCTAAATTGGTTTAACAGTATGATGTAAAAGCCAATCACAGATACCGATCAGTTCCTCTACATATATTCTCTACAATAAAAAGGAGGTTACTTATTAAACATATAAGTAGTTTTAATTGACCTCGGTCGAATCAGTATTTCTATACGTTTCATTTCTTATATACTTTCATTTTAAAATAAATATTAACATTCTGGAATGTAAGAAATGTTGATAATTTTTAGCGGTTCCGTTAATATGAATGCAGATCAAAAGACTGATAGTTAAGAATTGATATAAAATTCGGAAGTTGGCTATGTTTTGATAACAGTGTTTAGTACTATTTACGCTACGTCTTTAAATATATTCTAAGTGTATGGTGTGTTTTGACTGACCGCTTTCAAATTCATAACTTACAAGAAAGTATTCGAATTTCAATCACAATAAGACTACTTTACACAACATTTAATTACTCTGTTTCATTTTCGATTGTCGGTATGCTTCAGTATACAGATGAAGATAGTATAGAAAAGCATAGAATTAGTAAATAGTGTGGAAATTTATTACATCATAGGTCAACGTCACTTGTTATGTTGAGACTTTTATTTAGGAACATCAGATGTCATGTAGAGAAAGTCTAAAATTAAAACGATTAGCTACTTTTAGCTATCTAATTGTTAACGGTCCTCAAACTGACGTCAGCATATGGAAAAATGAACCCCAATAATGGGAACCATTTTCATTGATAGCATTTATTTTAAGTTCTGTAGCCTCCTACCAACATGTTGACTGATACACGATTTGTAAGGAATGGAAAAGCTTAATGGTCCTAAATCTTTTCTCTTTAATTACTCTACTAAAAACGTTGTAGTTATCCACTTCAAATTATTCAATGTATGGCGATGTAATGACGTCCTAAATGATGAACACTGTTGTTTCTACCGTTTCTAATCAGTGTAATAGTGACTGATATAAAATTTTGATCTGTCAGTCTACCCAGCTCCCGATACTTCGATGCTTTGAAATCGGTATAGTTTGAAGTTGAAATTCGAACATTAAGTTCTAATCCAACAGATTTAGAAAAATGCAATTCATAACTATTTTCACTAAACATAGAGTTTCACAGAAATGGGAATGATTAATTTTTCTAGTCAGAAAACTAATGAAGATATACTGAAAATGCAGTGATACTCTAAAATATATTCATGGACTAAACTCGCTTTAAAAGTAGTTATTCAATGATGTAAAGACTAAACGAAATAGGTTTCTTTTAATGCCATGAATTTTCAAATATTTTTATTATAGTACTTTAACAGCTAGCACGAATACAGTTAACTAGTAGAAAACGTTTTCTTCTCATAAATTACTGTCTGCTTAAAGCTAGGAATTTAAATTGTTCTTTTAAAAATTGAAAGGTTGAAAATTAGAACTTATAATGCTGTAAATTCAGGTATCCAGACAACGTTCGAGAAATATAAAAAGCAACTATCTTAAACTATGGGTTGATAATGTAGAACAAAACATACTAATATCGTGCACGTTATGTAAAAGTTCATTGCTACACTTCTGATAACAATAAGTTTTAAATAACTTCAATTTTTGGCGACGATTTTCATGTCTGAATGTCAATTAGGTTTCATTCAATTATTAATCTTTGATTTCTTTGAAGCTTTTCGTTATTATCGTTATTGTATGTTTATTCATTTAATGAGCGGTTTTCTGTGGTACTGTGCACTAAGCTGGAACATTGGAAACACTTCTGTAAAATAGTTCAGCAGATAAAATACGACACAAAACAAACTCTGAGCAAGAAATATTCAAAACAGTCCGAATCATCTCTTGCGCTATCAAAGCACAGTTCATTGTAACATCCGTTTTCTGAAATTAGCTTAGTCAAATCATCACAAAGATTTTAAAACTACATTGAAATCAATCCAAACCAATCACCATTCAATTTTGGGTCATATTTGAAAAACTACAGTGACAACTAAGTTGTATTTACTTATAGGTTTTTTCAAAAGATGTCAGTAACCAATTAAAGAAAAACAGATATCCAACAAAAAGTGTAACTCTTCTGTTTATGCTACATTTTCAGAACAATGTTACTAATGAACATGGATAATGAAACCACTAACAGTTCAATACCGTTTATACCTAAAATGAAGAAATATTTCTAGTTTACATTGATAACTAGATAACTATTTTTTTGAATATTTCATTTAAAAGAAATTTGGGAAGATGTATTCAATGAATATTTTATACACATAAAATTCCAGCTTCTTGGTAGTAATTTGGCAATATTTTCCTTATTTTTTGTTAAATGTAATGTTATTCCTCCTGTGTGTAAATAACCTTCCTCGTCTCCTGTCATCATCAGTCTTGCTATATGCTGACGATGTCAAGATATGGAGAGCGATAACGAGTAACGGTGATAGCTTGGAGCTTCAAAATGACCTGGAGAAATTGTCTGAATGGTCTCAAACTTAGCAGTTGCTGATAAATACTTCCAAGTGTATTGTGATGCATATTGATCATCAAGGTACAGATATGTACATGATAAATAACACTGAGCTACTTGTTGTCCAGACACACAATGACTTAAGGGTCATTATTAGACAAGACATAGACGTCAAAGGTTTTAGAACCCTATGGTCGATACGTAGGGTCTTCAGTCATGTCAACGCTAAAACGTTTATGAATTTGTATACAGTATTTGTGTGTCCTAAACTGGAGTACTGAATACAAGCGGCTAGCCGCTGCTTAAGAAAAGACAGTGAGCTTTTGGAAAAGGTACAGAGAACAGCAACTAAGCTGATTGCTGAATAGCAAAGCTCCCGTATGATGTTCGATTAGCCAAGACAAATCTATTCCTGTTGTCATATCGAAGAAGTAGAGGTGACTTGATTACAGTTGTCAAATTGCTTTTTGATAAATTTGCACCTGATATGCCCTCATTTCTCTTGTCTTCGAAAACAGAGAATTTACGAGGACAGTCCAAAATGTTTACAGGCCCAGAACAAATTACTTGTCAGCTGACTGTCGACTTTTCCAACGAATCATCAACGACTTGACCTCATTACCTCGACATATAATTGAAGCTCCATCAATCAACTTTTTCAAAAGAAAGTTTGATCAACTGAAAAACCGTCATTGCCACCAGTAACACAGGCCATCAAGCCTTCTGTCATTACCATACCGAAACTAAAATGTTTATGAGTAGATTTATACAAATATTTCAGTTTATGTCTTCAGTTTTAATTTATTTTGTTTCCATAATCTTCATTTGAAGAAGTTTTGTACATTAAAAAGTAGGAAAAGTCTGTTGAATTTTCAGTACAAACCTGCTTAATTGTTTATATTTACAGACTTCTTTAGTTTATTTTACTTTGGCTGGAAATGTTATCAGTTGTTAGTATTAACTAGTGTCTGAATCATTTAAGATATCTGTTACGTCTAAACATACAAGGTTTTATAGTTCTACTTTATGTGTTTGACTTAATAGATCATGAATCTTAAATATGTATACATAGTGAATCACTTTCTAATCACTATAACCGCAAACAATCACTGATTTTTCAAAATTCACTTATACTATCTGAAGAGTAATAAATGTTTAAATGTCTGTTCAGTATCAGTTTATTTACACTTACTATTTATCAGTAGTAGTGATGATTCAACATAATTTTATGGCAAAGAAATATATATATATATATATATATATATATATATATATATATATATATATATATATATATGGTTTTTGTTATAACTTAAGAGTGTCTAAAGTATCTTTATTTCGTGAATTCACTTTTATCAACTGATGAAGTAAAACCAAATTCCCTGGAAATGTATATTCAGTAATATTCAGTATATTTACGATAATGTAAGGTCCTGTACTTAAACAACCGATCCGCCGATTAGAAAACATAAATGTATTGATCAGAAATTGATTTTTTGGTTTTTTAGTTTAGTGCTGATATTCACTGTTAAGGATTTGTGTCGTTAAGTGAAACAGAAAAATATATCATTTTAAATAATATTATCGGACTGTAGCTGCATGGTCCTTTTTTTACGAAAATGTTATCAACTTGTATTGTTTTTTCAGCTTACTCATTTGAACCGAAAATCTTGAACTGATGCAGGTTAACTGCAATAAACTTTACCATTAATGTATAAAATTTCACTACATTAATACTACGTTTCCAGGTCTTTTTATAATTTCTGAGGTAGCGATTGACATAATGATAAAGCCATCGCAAAGGTAATCGCAAATTCTTTGCTATATGTTATATAACATAATTAAAGATCGCTAATTCTGAAGTTGTCCATAGGTGTTAAATAAAACTTTATGATTGTTGCTTTCATAATCACTGTCCGACTTACCATATATATTATTCGTTTTCATCCAACGAAAAGGCTTGCCTTTTGTACAATGAAATCTACCTTTATAATGTACATTACTTACTTACTCCTCGTGGAGGAGCACAGGCCGCACAGGGATTCTTCGTCTAACTCTGTCCTGAGCAATCCTTTTTAGTTCCTTCCTGTTGCTATTCATCCTCTTCGTGTCTGAGTCTAATTCCCGATGTAGTGTGTTCTTTGGCCTTCATCTTTTCCGTTTCCCTTAAGGATTCTAAGTTAGTGCTTGCTTCGTAATGAAGTTTGATGATTTCTTCAGCGTGTGCCCTATCCACTTCCAACTTCTTTTCCTAATTTTATCTTCAACTGAGAGCTGGTTTGTTTTCTCACACAGTAGGTTGTTGCTGATAGTATCCGATCAACGGGCATTGAGTATCTTGTGTTGTTAGTTGTTTAGAACTACTTATATATTTTTGATGATTATTGTGGCAGCTCTCTAAGTTTCAGCTCCGTGAATTAGAACTATCTTGATGTTCGTATTAAAGATTCTGTATATTACTCATCAAATAATAAAGAATTCATGATCTATTATTCAATATGGACTGAATCCTTAATAGCAACGTTTGTAATTTACTGAATTTCTTCAGTGACTTGAAAAAATAGAATTTACTTATAATGACTGGATGGGTCCTAAATGAGTTACTTTAATTGAATTTATTCATTCAAAATTTAATTACGTTGATAACTACTCATAGCTATTACGTTGTTCAGTTACTTAACCTGGTGAACCACAAATGTATTGAATAAAATACCGGCAGTATTAGTGACTAGAAAACATGATAACTTCCGTGAAAGGTTTTCTTTGATAGTACGTCGTGGACAAAATAGCTTAGCAGTAAGATCACTTTCTGCGGCAAAAGAATGATAAATACTTGAGACTGTCAAGAGACATTAGTACCTGTGAGGCTGAAAATAAACATTTTTAATGAACGATAGCCATCACAAAACACGAAAAGAAAGTTAGTAATAATGATAGTCATCCATTTAATTGCAAATGCTTTAGTCTCGAACACTATTGACAGATTCTGTATGCCAATGTTATGGTGTTTGTTAATGTAAAGATAATAGTAGAAAAATCCGTTTTGATTTTTAAAGGCTGCTCAATGTAAAGCCATAGTTCACAGATTCATATTTTATTTGAGTTCTTTCTACTCCCTTAAAATCTCAAAAACATATCTAGTATTAAATATGTATTCTGGAAAAAAATCAAAGTCATTGATGTAATACTTAGACAATTGTTGTTTATAAAAATTGATAAAATCCTAACCTCTTATTAAACGTATAAAAAGGTCAGTTTTTGACATTTTTTCTCAAATCATATGGTATTATTTATAGATTACTGTAGCTTACCTGATAATTTAGATTTCCTGTCCAAAATCGTACTTAATAATTGATGTATAATTTTAGTCGTGTCCAATGATTTTTCCTTTATAATAATACTTCTTTTAAATCGGTTTTTAATTAGACAAGTTGCTTCACACTCTGCTTCAGTTTTGAAGACACGTCCAATCATTTGACTTTCATAAATATTTAATTGCCCATACAATCGTTTTGGCTCATTTAAACAAATAGGTACTAGAATGGGTACACAAATACCATCAATTATTTCATCTGTTACGTGAACACTTGATGTAACTTGAAATCGATAACCTAATTCATGAATTATATCTTCACTGTTACAAAACGTATGTCTATCCATATTATCATATTGACTATTAGTTATGAATGGTAAACATGGAAATTTTTCTGACAAGATATCTGGAATGAACATAAAAAACATTATGAAAACAAATGACGTTTCAACATCTGGTACCATCACATTTATTTAATAAAATAATATTCTAATTATAATAACTCAATTTGGGTTTAAAGTATTAAAGATTAGTGACTTATTTGAAACAACGTTCATTAAGTTATCTTCAAAATGTATTTAAATGAATTATAGGATTTCATATATTTTATCCATCCATTTAATCAGTATTGCTTACTAAAAACTTGTATTGAACCAGGAAAAAAATGATTTTAAATTTGATGTATATTTTTAAAACTCTTTTCAATATTTCATTGTTACATCTGAAGTAACATATTTAAATATCATCTATGAACTACTGGACAAAGGAACAAATGGCGATTATTTATGTGATTTATACACTTTATATTTTGTTTTGAATTTTTGTTTTTACAAAATAGAATATAGTGTTTATTGACTACATAAGATAGTTCTGTATCAGATATTTTAAGCAACTAAAAATATGACAATAATATATAATTTTAAGTTAAAATTGTTTTTCTATTGTGGTATGTGCTACTGATGTCGACAGATATAAGTATTATGTATTCTCAATCGAAAGCGAAATGCATTGAAGTAGAAGGTTAAAAGGATCGAAGAAAAGAGAACGTGAACAGAAGATGATTGTTATAAAATCGAAAGAACAATGAAGTCTGGGATGATTGACTAACATTTTGTAAATGAATGGTTCTCAGATTTTACTAAGATATTCTGTAATTCCGTCTTCAAATATACTTGGTTTTCCCACTTGTATTCTCCTTCATTATTGAAATATTTTTATCTTTTTAGTTTGTGTAATAACTATGTATTATTTTAATAAATTTATATCTCATGACCTCAGTAGCAACATGTGTGAATGAGGTATTAAATTAAATGGAATTCAATCATGATAACTAATTTTTTTCTCAAGGATTATATATTACCCGATAGAAATAGGTAACAGATAAATCACCTAGTTTTATGCCTTCAATAAGTCAATATCGAATATCTGATCATAAATCTATTACAATTCACTATCTTTACTACATTCAATCCATAGAATGTAGTAAAGAGGCTATAACTACTTAACATTCCACTTTTTATTCACAATCTATTTACATAGATAAATGTAATTTAACATAAGATTTCTTTGACTAATACCTTTATTATTGAAATAATAACAATTTTAAAGTAATTAGTTACTGAATGAAAGAAAAAAATCACACCCGAAAGAATAATCTACAATTTTTTGCAAATGTTTTAAATAACTGATATTCAATTTTGAAATAATTAACTGTATACATGGTAAATTTTTACTAAACAAATTCAATATTAAAGTACTTCTTTCGTAAATTTTGTTTGTATATTTTATAGGATATAAATATTCCACGTAACTTTCATGTAATTTTCAACAGAAATAAGATAATGTTTTTTGTTTTTAACTTTTTTACTAAATAATCATAAAAATTGATTCGGCTTTGAATAATTTCCGGAAGCTGAACATTTAGTGACCTGATATCTGATTACATTTAGATCGTTTCTGATTGTTATTGGAATATAAATGTTGTCAAACGTCTCCTAATTACTATCAAAGAATGATATCATATTAACAAAAAACAAGACTGGGAAAATATAACCTATGTATTATATAATCATATCAAAAGCTTATATGACATTTTGCCAGACGTACGAAAGTGCTTAACACCATATGGATTTAAAATTTTAGCAAGTCATGCAAAATGTTTTACAGCAATATACATACTTTTATTATCATTTGGTATTCTATGAACATTTATAGAAGTGCTTTCATCTGTCATTTGTTGCGTATTTGTATAGTTTTCAATAGATGATGCTTGGATTAATGTTTTACTTGATTCTTCTAATATTTTATCAGTATTTAAATTAGAACTCAGCATAATTTTTTCAGCAATTACTTCAATGTCTGGTACATAAATACATGTTGCATTACAGGCACTAAGTGATGGGAAATTGTTTCCATGCGCCAGTAGACCAGTGAAACGAAATGGAAGACACTGTTTTCTAGAATGATCATAATAGAATCTTTCAGGGTAACTTGTGTCGGTAGAATTCTTCTGTACATAGTAAAATATAAGAGAAATTAGCAATAGTATTTTCTAAAAAATGACAGAAGTATATTTTACAACTGTTTTCCTCATGTAAACAATCGACTTATTTACGAAATATACGAAATTAATTGTTAACAAGCTTTACATTCATTAGATAAAAACACCACTGTCAACTATTTTACGGGTATTTGATTGTAACTAACCAATGTACGTCATATAATTGATATTTACTACAGTTTGTTACCGCCAACAAATGAACGCCTAGATAGTAGTCTTATTGCCCAAAATGGCCTTCTTAGTATAAGTATTTCTGTAACAACATCTATAATGGGATCCAAGTGAACAGAAATAGTAAGTTCCATATATAACTTGTAGTGTCTGTCATTATATTAAGCCCAAATACCTCATTATTCTAACTTTCGGACAGCCCATTCTATTCATTCTATTTGAGTCACATTCTGACCTTGTTAATTATTCGCTTATCAATGTCTTGACTGTCTTTGTATGAGCGCGTAGGCGTATGCACACTTCTTATCCCGTTACTCATCACATGTCTGTAATTTATCTTGATGTGCTTATAAATATTGATTAACTCTTTGTTAAATGGGAGTTGGCTTACCAGCCATCTCCACCGCCCGTCAATTTTGCTTCGCTTTCTTCCTTTTGCGTCGTTCTCCCGTTAGTTTGTCTAATCAACAATTATACAAAATATATGCATTCAAAACTCCATTCTCGTTATTTGACTTATTTAATTCCATTATTAACTAACGCGATTTAAGTCAATGATTATATACGAGGATAGACGATAGCAACCAATCATTACGATCAAATTGGAGTCAGATCACGGGCCACTAAAAACTTAAGACGATTATATTTCTTACTATGTTCAAATACCGTTAGAAATAAAATTACTACAATATTACTATAAACATGATAGGCTGATTAACTGCAGTTGATAAATTCCTTCTGAAAACTACGATATATAACAAATAAATTTTACAAAAATGGATATTACAATAAATAGATAGCGGAATTTTCTGCTTCAATCAAATATTTGTTATTAAAATAAAAAAAAACAAAGATACCAATCAGTTTACAACAACATGAAGATGAGACTTGCTTGTAAAGGTAGTCTACAAACATCTTTTCCCATGCAAAATCCTTCACATTCTGCTTTTGTTAAAAAACGGTTAGAATTTCCAAAGCATCCACCGTATGTAAAAGGCATACACATTCGTTTATGCATGTCATAGTACCATCGTTTTTCAAAGTTTGAACATCCACCATGATCATATGGAAGTCGACAGACATCTAAAAATGTAAGTTTTAGATTTTCTTAATGTTTTTGAAGTCACTTAAATGAACGCCAAGAGTAATAATTAGAGTAGAATTGATAAACACCCTAAATAAAATAGTTATTTTAATTTCGAAACTGGCTTTAATGGTGATAGAACCGATAAACAGAGTACTTAAATTCCAAATGATTAAACCATTACGTTTTTTTGGTTAGAATACTTCATCATTTAGTGAATATTAATTTAAAAGGTTTTTATGAAAGTAATAAAATCTTGATTACATTAACTTCACAATCTAATAATAATCAAAATAGCTTTCATAACAAATGGAAATCATACATAAACCTATTAATCAGTGAAAAGAATCAACTTTAAATTAGCAATTTTTCAGTAACATGTAAATATCACCTGACATGGAATAGTTTTATAACGAGCACAGATTCTTCCCAATTCCATGCCCCGAAATTTTCAATTTTGATTATTTTTTGATGAAGCTTATTCATTCATTTAGTGGAAGTCAGTCAGAAACTTTACATAACTTAAATAATTCTCCATAAAAGCTAATCCATTTCTAGTGTGTTTGATTTCTCCAATAATGAGATTTTCATAGGGGTTCATTAGATTTTTTCATAGTAAATTAAATTTTCAATCGAACTTCAATCATATTTAAAATTATTGTAAAGGAGTCTAATTACACTGATTTCAGTTTATTCTAGCTAATAGAAAACTATTTGGTGCAAATATTTTGATTGAAAATGTGTTTTCATTGAATACATCTTTAAAAATCTACTTCATCTGAAGTCCAACTCATAATACTCATCCATCACACGTTTATTAACAGAGTAGACGCTTAACTTGACGTACGTTTTGCTATATCGATAATCATTAAGATCATCGGTAAAAGGTTAATAGACACGAAATGTTCAAAATGTGGTTGTTCAATGAACCATTTAATTTATTTTCTTGTTAAAAAAGTTTTAAGTACAAAAATATTGACCAATTTATTCAACTTCTGTGGACAAAAACAAACCTATAGGATGTCCAGGTGTACATATATCTTGGCAAGCTCTATGACTAGGAAAGTTATTTCCATATTGTGGACAAGTTATATAGCTTCTGCACTGTGTTTCTCTAGGTTCAAAATACCATCTAGTTACCATAGCATTGCAGCCAAATGGTACTGTTACAATCGGGTTCATATGACATACGTCTAAAATAAAGACAAAGATTTCAAGGTTAAAAAAGACTAATAAATGAACAATATTGTTCTAATTCACATCCTCTTAGGGTTTTACTTTAATATACCATTATACTTATGCTAATGTATGAAGAACAAGAAATATATTTAGGTAATGTGTTAGTCAACAATGACTATGATTTACACTAATCATATTAAAAGATAGTAATAAATCGAATGTTTGATGACATGCTTTGTAGTGACAGTATTAGTGATAATAGCGATGGTAAGAATAATGAATACACCCCATAGTCACTGTAGACAAAATACAATGAAACTGTGTATATATGCAATTAATTCGGCTGATTTTGTTTTCTAGAACTACACAACAAATAATACTTGATAAGACGATTCCCGAGATTCATGTAGACTTTTAGATTCCAACGAAGTATCTTTTCAAGACTTGAGTATACATTTGTTATGAATTGAGCCAAATTAGAAAGTATCCAAATAAGTCAGTGTCTATTTCAATCTTTTTATCTGATATCGGTTGTTCGAGCTTATAAGTTTAGTGGTCGAATTAATCATGAAATGCTAACGTTGTATAACTGACTAACCACATCCATGTTACTTGGAACACGTTCGCATAGTTTATTCAATCCAGTCATTTAAATATTCTACGTTAAACGTTGCATAAAGTATTATTTAATGAATCGTATCACTTTATAAAACAATTGGTAAACCTACTTTGTGTATCTGTTCCTCTGGGAGGTTTTGGTAAGCAATGATACTGACATGCACTGCGAGTTGCATAAACACCTTCAGGTAGATTTCCAGTCCTTGCTTGCCATACTCCGAGCCATTGACTAGTTCTTCTTAAACGAAATGAAAACTTTTTATGAGATATTTGAAATTCGCTTTCTTTTTCATCAGGTTCACAAATTTCAAAGAAATAACAATCTCCGATGGTTTGGTTATAAGCCCATGCTTGAATTCCACTTCCAGGACATTTTGTGATTGGTTTATCAAAGTGGCAGCGAGCAAACTCTTTAAATAAAACGTGTCAGAATAAAATATCATTAATTAAAACTGAATAGATAGTAGCATTTCTTAGCCGATTGTGCAGAAAATTTGATTTAAAACCAGTCTAACGTAATACAGAAAAATAAGTAATTAGGCTAACCTATTTATGTATTTATTTTTTCTGATTAATAACAAATATTTCTGGAAAATGCCATCACTTAGAAGCCTCAAATCATTTAAGTTTTCTACCATGTGAACGAATTTAATAGGTCTCAATTAAATTTGAGCTTTTAGGTAAGGTTTTGTTCTTTGAACAGGATGGTTTGATCGTGGAACTTTCATTGTTATTCTGAGCGACATCATCAGCGAAAACTTCACTGTGTTCAAATGTCTCCACATATGACTTGTAGCTTATCCTGTCGATCTCGATCTTGATTGGTTTTCATTGACCTTTAACCTCTCATTGTCTACTTTTTCATTTTAATTGTATCTCCTAGAATTGTATCTGCAAGACTCAAATCTACCTGAATTTTGTGCTGTTGATGTTGTTCAGAATAACAATGAAAGCTCCACAACCAAACCATCCAGTTCACAGAACGAAACTCCATCAAAAATCATCCACCTGAACTGCGAATCTTCCCCACCATCTCAAATTTAAGCTTTAAAAGCGAGTAATTAAAGGTATAGAAATGATAATGTTCCCTATATATCTTTAATCCATAGATAAACCAAATATAAAAATATCATTTTTAGAAAGGTTTGAGTTAGTCCGTTATTGATATTACTGAGCAAAGTTTGATCAATCTTAATTAGTATATGTGTATTATATGAGAAATATTTCGGTACAGACATTTTTCACGCTTTTGGAAGACATGAATTAACCTGCCGGCCAAAACCCAACTTATGGAAAGTGGTTAAATAGAGACAATCGGCATAGGATATGCATCTATCAGCCGACACTGAGAAGCATTCAGCCAATACTCAAACCTTCTTAAAATTTGTATTAATTTCATCCTCGTTAAAAAGGTGAGTAATTAACTGGACTATGTAGCTTAGTGGATAGTGCGTTTTTATTTAGAGAGCGAAGTAAGGGATTCGACTTTCCATGTGGGCATCAACAATAGGTAGCACATAAATCTAGCTGACGAGTTCCAAGCTAGCCAAAATACTTGTCCTGAATTCCAGTGCTAGCTTCAATTCATCTCTAGTTAAATACAAAACTTTAAACAAACCAGCCCTTTGTGATCTAAAAAGCTGATAATTTCTTGAATAATAATGAAACTGCAAATGAAAACATATCCGGTAAACCAGTCCAGAGTACCTAATCTAAACCTAACGTTTTTTTCAAGTAAAAGAGTGAACACTTGGTTTTAATGAAAACTGAGTTATTTACATGAGCAATGAAAGCTGAAAAAATAACTAGAAAACATGGAAAGGTTTGTAAACCTAGTCACTGTTGGTAGTCTTATTGCAATGGGGCACCACCATACCTATTTTCATGTAATAAAGTCCTGAGTTTCGTGAAGAGCTTTCATGGTATATATTTTGATAAAACTATTACGTTGTAAAACATCTGTTTGTCAGTAGTAGTGCTTTAAGCATGTAAACTCTAGCTCTCATAAAATACGAATGACGTGTTTGCCTTCAGAGTGATCAATCATCTGTAATTATCATATTGCTCAGAAATGTCAGAAATTCGTCAAGTTCTTTGTAGGCCTTAATATTATGCAATGATGATTATTTCTTACGAGATATCAATCAAAACAGTTTAACATAGAACTTGCATAACGAATATTTCGAATATTAGCAGTGCAAAATAAAGTTAATTACAAACTTCAGTTAGTGATTAATTTTTTTTAAAAACTGTATTATCTTGGATCAATCTAGTTGGATAGTTTATGTTGTAAACACATATAAAATTTGTATATTTAAGAAAATGATTTGTTAGGAATAAACTGATAGTCGTACAATTTACGTTTTATTAAAGTATTTGTCCGTAAGTATTTCCCTACATCTTTTTATCGGTTACATTCAAACTGACAGTAGAACAACTATGATTTAGGTAAAGTTTTTTTGGAAACAGTTATCAAAAGATTTAAATAAGGAGTTTTTCAATTACAGCGGATTAACATGTGATATAATTAGACCAAAATATATCGAGTTAATGAAGATTAACAGTAAGCTGTTGTAAAAGTGCATCATTCTACCAAATAAATGAGTGGAAAAAAACACACACAGTTACAGTTTCTTCAATTTACAACATTTAAAAACATTTGTTTAAGTGCTAGTTGATGTAAATTTATTTCATATCCATATTTAATAAAATAGACTTTTTAACATGGTACCTGATCATCTGAAATCTATCAACTAGGTTATCATCAACTATTGAATTTATTTAAGTGGAGTCTAGTTCATTATCTCCCCGCGTGCGGGTACTGCTGAAGAGTCCTATAACAAGAAACGGCTGTCCAGTGCTTCTAGGATTTCAGTGATGATCTAGCTCAGATCAGTTCGTGATTTCAACAATAGAAATACTACACTCTCCACAAATCCTCTTTACGAATATCATTGTTTTGTGTGTTATAGAATCATAAACACTAATTCACGTTAACTAAAATAACTTTATTTAATATTTAATTGTGATATAAGCACCAGAAAGTTGTAATACTACGTCCCGATAAGAGACAAAAGAGTAGCGTCTAAATGATAAAAAAAAATTCCACGGTGGTTTGAGGCAGCATAATGTGCGTATTATACAGAGATGTTTATTGTGAAAGAATCATACTCAAAATTCACCATACATACATATCTAAGTGACTCATTAAACATCCGTACAACTACAATCAATACATTAAATGAAATTGGAAAGTCTATATTTCATATCAAATATATTAAATATATAGTATGAATTTAAGATAATCATCATTACACATACATTTATTGTTTCGATTATGGTATAGGGACACTTAATACAAAACATCAATACGATCATCATTCTTGGACTTATCATCATAATGTAACCAATTGTCCTGGCAAATAACCCATAGTAAGGTTCTAGTAACGATGTAAATAGTATTAAAAATAGTAATAAATGGAAGAAGAAAAGTCATAAATCAAATGGATTGTGAAAGTAACTTCTTATTTAAAATAACCTATAGTGTTATTGAATAAGAAAAAAAGAATTAAGCAAAGAAACTTTTCTTTTCGACGAAATCTTTTACTTAAGCTGTATATTCTTATTTATTTATTATTCATTAGAAACTACTAGTATTTCTGATTGATTCACCATGAAATTTGTAGTTTTATTGGCGTTAACTAAAAAAACTAAACAAAATTAGAAACCGAGATGAAAAGTAATCATGTAATAAATAAATTGACAGATAGAAATGGGTTTGAATGACTCTAAACAAAATCCAACCCAAAACATCAATATTAAAAGGCAAGTATAAATTCAGTGCTTTACGTCTTAAAATTTGGTTGGGTTTTTTTATGATCCAATCATCATGGAAGACACTTAGTGAATTGCTGTTTTATTTGTAATTTGGTCATTCCCTAAAGTTAATACCTTGGAAGAAATTCGAGGTATCAATTTCTATGTCATTCACTGTTCAAAATAGCATGATTCTTAAGTTGAAAAATAAGTAAAGAGTAATTGTTCACTGATAGTTTCTATCACTTAGCAATATCAATTAATGAACGATTGGTGAACGAGGTATACTGTAAATCTGTGTAGTCTTAGTTTATGCGTTATTTTTGACAAACGCCTATAACTCTTACTTTTAAAAGATGCTTAAATAGAAACATATACCTTGGTTGAATTAAACTACTTTCAGTTAAATTGTGATGGATGAAGGCTGATAAATAACCAAAACAGTTAAATTTAAAAGGTGTGGGGTATATTTTTCTGTCAAAAGTGATCCAAAAGTAAGCCTTAAAGTTAATTAGTTTGTTCCAAAGCTTCCAAAGAGATCATTTCTAGAAGCTAGCAACGTTTAGTATATTCATAAAAAACAAATATGTGACTATTTTTCTGCCGCCATTTCTTTAGAAAAGTTACATTAACTCTTTGCTTCGTGTAGCTATCACTTTACTTACAGGGTTACAGTTAGCGTTTAGCCTAAGCATAATGTATTTGTTAACCCCTAATTGGCGGGCGATTGCTCAATTATCAACGTCTTTAGATTAATAATAAAGTTGATTTATATTGACATAGATAGATTTGATTGTTAACACATATGAAAATTGTTGATAAACAAGACAAATGAATATATTTTATAACTCACTTGGATTTTTCAAACGATTCTCGCACACTGTTTGACATTTTTCCAATGTGTCAAAATGATTTCCACGCGCACCACAACCGGTATATGTATAAGGTTGACATTGACCCAAACGACGATCATAATAATAACGAGTTAATGGTACATATGGGTATTCACTTGTTGTTTGATATTGACCACCAGACAGTGAACATGTACCATAACTATGACTATCCAAACAAATATCCCAAGCTAAATATGCATACATAATTAATAAACATAATTAATTGTTGATTAAATCAACTGTTTAGAAGTTTCGACAATTCAGTATTCTAGTTTGCACTGAAAGATATGAGATACCGTTAAATAGAAGTCTGATAAGAATATATTCATTCAAAACTTTACGTAGAATTTCTAGTGGTGTATTACAATTTAAATGATACCGTTAATATCTGTTCATTCTACTAAACGTTTCCTTGTTCGATTACTCTATTTTCTTTATTATTTTGTAAATGAGGAGGGACTGTGGGTCAAATACGATTTTGGTCTAATTTGATCTTTCTGTTAATTTTCAGATATATCAATATTCTTACATATTTTTCATAGCAATTCAGTGATAAAAGATATCGGGTTTTAAATATCTTAAAAGGATCGAATACTACATAAAATTCTTGGAAAATGCAGTACGTAATACACTTTGATAAACTGCCATCTTTGTAGTTACTTGTTTATTCCGGTTAACAGTATTTTTGGTCAGTCATAGTTACCTTACAGGTTGAGAATTTATTTGACCGAAAGTAGTGTTATCAAATGTCCTTAACTCAGGATTGAATTGGATGGTACTAGGTTCAAATCTCGGGGTGAACATCAACTTTAGGATGCCGTTACATCCAGCTGGCGAGTCCAACGTAGGACAAAATGTACGTCCTGGATTCCACTGCTAGCGACCACTCATCTCTGTTTATGAAGACATATATGTTTCTTATTCTATCAGGCAAATCTTTATGGGATTAGATTCATGTGAGAAATAGGAGTTAGGCTCATTTGTATTTGTTGTTAAACAACCTTTCACGTCTCAGAGGTATAAAAAGTCAGGTTATTGATGAAGAATATGGCCCAAGATGATGAATAAAAGGAGTAATGATAATTAAAAATTTTAAATTGAATTTCACAAAATCGCATGATATAAAATAATTAGATTTAAAACCTCACTAAAATTTTCTTTAATTTCTTAACAGGCACTGTCTCAATATTAAGTGATGTATTCTGACGAATCCTTTCAAGGGAACCTTCTAAAGGACAAGAAGAGTTGGATTAAATGATTCAGAGTTTGAGTTTCATTTGATTCTCTTATCATCAGTGAATAGGGTCATCATCATATTGGTGGGTAAATATGATACAAATAAATCAATATAAAATAAGAAATAATTGCCATTTTTCTGAGTCAAAATGTGTAGGCGGATACTTTATAAGTTTGATAATGAAGTAGTTTTGTCTAAATTCAATAAACTGCATGGTTCGGAACCATCACATGGTATGAATTTCTTCATTATTTTCAATTTATCTTATAGTATCCAAAACAATAATCTGGTGATTTTATTGACATTTGTGTTTTGATTTTAAAGTAATATCGCAATGAGTGCAAAACATACTTAGAATAATTTAGTAAACATGAAATTTCATAAAATAACTTACGATAACGATCTGTATGATGTTGTGTAATTTGTTTCATCTTCTCAAATACCTGTGCACTTAACGGTGGAGATTCATCATAACCAACTAGTGTTTCTTCCATTAAACTTTCTTGCGATTTCGTATGATTTGATGTGCTTAAAATATGTGTTGAAAATTGGGAACATGCTAGTTCACATTCTTTTCGTGAAAGAAATCGATTAAAGTTGCCTAAACAACCCCCGTATAAAAATACACGACATTTTGATGTACTGCTGTCATAAAAATAGCGAGTTTGGAAACTTGTACATGGACCAGGATCTTTTGGAAGTTGACAAACTTCTACATAAATAAAGATGATGTGTTAACTACATGTACTCATTTCTTTTAAAAACATCGATTTATAACTTATATACATTTATAAATGCTGTACTTTGTCTTGGAAAGTCATTATCTTATTGCTTATACTAGTAAAGTCATCATGATTATCTAAAAAAACATTTAAATGTGAAAATGTTATGAACCGAGAAATGACTTGCTCTGGAACTATAAACATCCTAAATTCATTGAAATTAGTATTATATTTCAAAAAAGTCAACGGAGTTTATGTTTGTGAGTTCACGGGATCTTGTGACTTTCAGTCTTGATTAAAATCATTTTATTCTTAGTCATTTTGAATAATTTTGGTCAATACTCAGAAATAAAATTTTGTTTTTAATGTTTCAAGATTTTAGTTTCATGTGCCTGACTAATTACTTCAAGACTATAGAGACTCCATCAACTCGGTAATTTCATATACACTTGGATATCGATTAAAAACCTTCCTCTGACTAATCTTAACAAATGATCTTAATTTATCTTCTATCACATTTTGGAATCAGTTGGTTTAATAATATCTTATATATTTCTAGACGTTTGTGAAAAGAGCACGTATTTAATACATCAATAATTTAGTTATTTATGTGATCTTTCTCCATTCTATCTATCTATCTTATTTTATGATTATTTATTTAGATGAAGTTATCAATCTATCGTTCTGTAGTGCACTAGGTTTTTAGAATATGACTCGTATATGATGCAGCCATATGACTAGCACCAGTTAAGTAAGAGGTACATTCCGAAGTAATGTTGGTTTATCGGTTTTTAAAACCCGATTTTATAAAAAAGAGTTACGCTTACCCAGTCACATATTTTGAGTCTGGGTCATTACAATGCACCAATGTTTTGAGAAGATAACTATAAAGCTTGACACTTAGAGATACGGGGACGTCCCGTTTCACATTAATAGATACGATTAAAATCTATCGTAGAAAGTGAGAAGTTATGTAACCTGTAAGTGTGTTCCATAACAACCTTAGTTTAAGCGTTGTCGTAGTTCAATTAATCTAACGATTTACAAAGCTTTTATTCATTTTCAGGTACCAGAAATTTATGAACTCTGTATTCTGATTCTTGTAGATTTTATAGAGGAGTTAGTTGGTTAGACTACATACAAGTTTATGCAAGGCGGTGATAACTGTGTTTTTATACAATGATTATGTAGTAGAATGAAGCTGAGACTCCTTTCCTACATGTTTATTAAAAACTTTACTATAAAATTCTTCCTGTACCTACCGATGAGACGTGTTTAACAAAAATAGATTACTAAACAGATCTAAAACGTTAAAGGTTTGTGCTTTGCACCTGCAGTCTATATTTCTTAATAAGAGTTGAGTACTATAAAAACAGAAATTGATGTACACTTTTGAATAACCTTATTTATTTGAATATTTACTGACCTTCAAAACTAGATGCCATACAAGTAGTTTCACATTCACTTCTTGAAGCAAAATTATTTCCAGGCTGTTCAATTATTTGATCTGGATTTGTACATTCAGAAAAACGTACGCATTGGTTAATTTCAGGTAGATATGACCAACGATAAGTTTTAACACTTTGATCTGTGCAGTTCCACATGACATGAGTTTTCCGAGCGAAACAGCGATCTTAAACAGGCGAGAAAATTTGAGAAAACAGAACTTAAGCAGCAAACTGTTATACAATACTATAATGAGAAATATAATAATACTTGATAGAAAAACTTTTAAACTTATTTTTGCTTTAGTTAACTGTCCTTCATGTCTTCTGAATCTGAAGAATGGAACATAAACCCAGGACTTTATTCTTATGTTGATGTTAACCACTAGATAGTATGAATTATTTAGCTAGCTAGTTTCATACTCTAATTATTAATGTAACATATCATCTACGTTACTTTTGCTCTTCGTCTTATGCATTAACAAAAAATGCAATTATCAACCACATAAAGTATTAAGTCTAAAAATATAGACGGTGTGCTCAATTCCGAATTGATTGAACTGCTCTCACTTAGTCCTTGTTAACTCAGATATCTATCGAGGTGATAATGGAAATCAAACAGCAATATCAGTAGGTTTTCAACAGAACATTTGAATGCATAGTGATTCTATTATATACTAATGAATAATTTGTTCGTTTCAAATAATCAATACCTTACTCTGAAACTTTTCAGCATTTCATTTCAAGAAACTTTATTTTTACACTACAGGAACAGCATTTTTGTCTACTAATTTGTCTACGAACTTTCTTTTTATGTTGTGTGATCTACGAATGGCTTGAGAAAGAGAGCTTTTATTGAATCATTAGTGTCTGATCTGATCGTAAAAACTGAAAAATTAAAACCTTTTTATTGAATTTCAAATATTCATATTTCATTTCTAATCAAAATAATACTAAACAATAATTAATTGATGACATTTTTTAATTACTTATAATTAACCTACTTTAAATTAGACGAAGTAGCGTTGCTATTATTTGGATAGAAAATAGTAACCACTGGTAAGTTTTTTTGTTATTTTATGTGGGTTTTTTTAGTACAGTAATAAATAAAACTTACTTTGTAAATGTTTTTCATTTGGTGAAGATTTGACACATTCTCGTAAACAATCGTAACCATTTGGAAAGTATTGTTCCATACTACAACCAGGTCGTTTTGTATTTAAATGGAACGCTTTACATGTAGCACTAGACATACTAAAGTGAAATGCAATGACATCTTTTTCACTTGATACATCCTGTTGATTACCACTTACTGATAGTGTGTAACATTTTTTAATATGTGGGTTTGAATCGCAACGTTGATCCCCTAAACATTGAATTATATAGAACATAGCAAATAGAAATTATTCTAAATTGTTAAATACGATTGTAACGTTAGTTAAATCTATACTAATAATTGAAAAGAAATATTTATTAACAAGTATATCAAGGAGTTGAAAGAGACATAGTTTGATGTTCGTGATTGAGTGTAAACTAATGATGAGCTATCATTTGTGGCAACTAACTTTACAGTGATCCACTTCCACTGATTTTATTAAAATTCGTCTTAGATGTGCATCTAGTTGAAATTTTCCCTTTATTCTTTTTATCGAAAACCGGTTTTATAATAAACAGTCCCTCTTAATGAGCGGGATTGTTTAGATGTTATATAATTACCAACGTGAAATAATCTAATTTAAAATTGATCCTAATGATCTGAAAACATCGGCTTTTATTTTTGTCTAACTGTCATACACTATATTATTAAATCTTATCCTTAGTTTTTTTATTTGTTCAGTTTATTTATTTAAATGAAATAATACTGTTGATATCACTGTTGCTTATAGTGACAGCAGTTTATTATACCGAAAATTAACTTATGAAGTAATAGTGATCAGAATAATTTTTGTATAACGAAACTTACTATCAGGCCTGACAATTCTAGCTTTACATGCCGCCTGACAAGCTTGAGCATCATCAAATGTATTTTCTGAAGCACCACATCCACTGTAACTGTATGCTTCACAATTACTAGTATGAGCATTAAAAAACCATCTTTGGAAGTTTAAAAAGTGGCATGTCTGATTACGTCGATGTTCTTCAGAGCAATTTAATGGTCGACAAAAGCCAAAAACAGGATGTCGCCGACATGGTTCAAGATCTAATTAATGGGAAAAGATGGATTAGTTTTCATCAATATTAAATACTGCAAATAATCTGAAGTAAAAATATTTACTTCAACCTGAGGTTTATGCTGATGATGTCATTCAGAATAACTATGAAAGCTCCAAGACCAAACCAACCAGCTCAGAGAACAAAACTCCATCAAAATCATCCACCTGAGTTACAAATCTTCACTATGGAAAACATCATTTATTAGTTCAAAAAACACTGGTTATAAACTGATGAATTTATCCTTTAGCTGAAACTTGAATAAAAAAATTTACCATTTGAGTTCTGTTTCATTATTAAACTGATTAGCTAACTGTCATTCTGAAGATTCAAACTTATGTTTCAACGTGTACTCATGTTCTGTTCACAATTAATTTTTTTCAAGTGTTTTATGATCTTCAACTGATGTAAGAAACTGTTTTTACAACAAAATTTATTGCTTGGAAATATGCGAAAAATGTCCATAATACACAACAAATGACTGGTTTGAGTATAGATTTGAAATAATTTTATGCACATTTAAATGTTATTAGATTGAATTATACATTTATCTAATATTTTATCAGTCAGTTTCTGCATGAACATTCAATTTAACAATCCATGATCAATCGTAGTTGTTACAATACTATTGAGACATAGCTAGATCTCAGTGTAAGTTATGATTTTAAGAAATTATATTAAATTCTTATTTTAGTAGTAAAAATCATAAGTCAATTGAAGCTGGACCACCATGGAAATCTGGAAGCACTGGACGACCGTTTCGTCCTAGTATGGGACTCCTCAGCGGTGCTCATCCACGATCCTGCCCCCACGAGATTCGAATCCAGTACCTATCAGTCTCGCTCTTGCGCGACTAACCATTAGACCACTGAGCTGGCATCCAACGGTGTTAATGTCTAACTTCAACTAATCCACGAAATTGAGCGACACATCCACCATTGTCTGAAGTGACTCACGATCTCAACTATTAAAGTTACTATAATATCCACAAAACCCCTTCTAAAACTGAATTCTTATTTCACTGGTTGAAATCATGAATCCATTGAAGCTAGACCACCATGGAAAACCTGGAAGCACTGGACGGCCGTTTCGTCCTAGTATGGGACTCCTCAGCAGTGCGCATCCACGATCCCGCTCCTCGCGAGATTCGAACCCAGGACCTATCAGTCTCGCGCCAGGCGCTTAACCAACTAGACCAGGTCTGTTGTGAGATATCAGCTCACTGAAGACAATGGTGTACGGTGGCGCAACTTCGTGGATTGGTTGAAGTTAGACATTAACACCGTTGGATGCCGGCTCAGTGGTCTAGTTGGTTAAGCGCCTGGCGCGAGACTGATAGGTCCTGGGTTCGAATCTCGCGAGGAGCGGGATCGTGGATGCGCACTGCTGAGGAGTCCCATACTAGGACGAAACGGCCGTCCACTGCTTCCAGGTTTTCCATGGTGGTCTAGCTTCAATGGATTCATGATTTCAATCAGTGAAATTTCTAAAATCTCCACACAATCCCTTCTGAATTCTTATTGTCTAGCAATAATTCTCAACCTAGGCAAAGGGGTTTTATCGTGTAAGCTATCATCTATTAGTTATTCTGATCGTAATGCGATTCGCTTTTAAGGGATGAACAAATGATTTCAAAGTTGTAAACAATTATTTCGAACATAAAATATGTAGGCAACACTGTTGAATTTAACACAAAAAAATGTTAACTGAAGAACATTTATAGATTACTTGACAGTGTTTTAAATGACGTCACGTTTTAAGGAAAATAATGTTTCTGTCTATTGATTACGTCATCAATAAGAAAGTTTAAGGGTGAAAATTGTTGGTTCGTAGAAGTAGCTTGGTTTTTAACGTTAAACATTATCACCCTTACACAACAAAATAGTCATCCTCACTGTATTTAATTATTTTACACAAAATAATAGCTAAACGATGCTATTTCACAAAAATGGCATTAATGCACATAGGAACTTGTAGACAACTCAACTGGAAGATCAGAAATTCTGGATTGAAGAAATTCTTTGAATATTCAGTAATTTCACTATACAAAAAAAATTTGATCATCTAGGAATGATCGAGTTTTCAAACCCATTCCTGAAATTCTACTAACTTTGGCCAGTCACAAAATCACTAAAAAGATGGAATAGTAAATCATAGCCAACGATTCACGATTGCTATGTGTACGATGAAGTCTATTCATGAACAGTTGGTAATGCTATTTATACATATTTTTGATGTGTGGGCGAGAGTGATAATGATTGGCTGTTTGATTAGTCAAACTAACAGCTTTATATGAGTTATATATTTTCCTATCCTTATTACTATTGATTATTGTTAGATTGTTGGTTCTTGGTGTGGAAATATATTTACGTTCTAGTCAGGCTAATTACATGTTCTGGATCTGAGTTGTGTTGAAGTCCTGTAGAATAGACACTGGGAGAGAATCTAGTGCAGATATTCGTCTAAGGTAAATTAGCATTCCATTCGTGTAGACGTGGAAATCCGAGTGTCGTATAACGATTTCTGAAATGTGAAATTACGGAGACTTATTTCATTGAACTGAAAGCTTTGTGAAAAAGTGATTACTGTTAATCTTTATCCTTTTTCGCAACTTCTATGATAAATATTTGTTCTCTTCATTTATTTTGCAAAGGATTTTCTAATTCAATGTCTTAGAAACTTTTCATCGTTTACAACCACTACTTTAATGAACACATCAACTGAACACTGTAATTTACATTTGCTAGAAAGAAAAAAACGACCAGTTTACTATGGTAGCAAATGCTATAAGGTTTTATCTATCAAAAAACTTACTGTAATTAGATACATTAGATCATCTAATTTACTTTGAGCGTGTCACAGACTGAAAAGAAGACATATTCAAGCTGATTAAGCTTTTACTACTGAGCTATTTTATTTACATACAGAGTAAAATTTGAGTTTTTGTATTCAGTAATAGTATTTATATTTTCATCTGTAATAAATTTTATTTTTGTATAAACCCATTGATACATTGTTCTTCACGTCGCCTCATATCTTCTAAACATATCATTACAAATACCCTTAATATGATAATATAACTGAATTAATTACAATAACTTTTCGCTGGAAATATTACGCATTTCATCTTAACTTTTGTAGTATCAGTTATTGATGAGAATAGTTTAAATATATCAAGTCACTAATCTCTCTAGATTACAGCTAGACAAATTAATTAAATCCTCCAGAAATAAAGGAGTTTTTGTCTCGTATTGAATGGTGGTCTGTTGTTAAATGTTAAACTGTTAACTTTATTCTAAGACATGAACAGCACCAAAACACCTTGTTGGAATCCCATAAAACTTGTACAATCGGAGATTCTTTGATAAACATAGAGTAAAATGTCATTGATCTTGGTGTAAAATTTTCCTCTGATCTTTCTTAGTCTTCTCACTATTATTAAAGAAAGTTTTCCGACTCACTTACTACATAAAGAGGCTGCATGCTTTTGCCATTACTCCACATTTACGCTTGCAATTTGTCAATTCTTGCATATTACCTATTATTCTTTACTGTTCTTCATCAATCTTTCCCGAGCTTTTGAGAAAAGACTATGCTGTATTCCAAAGAGTGCTAAAGGCAGTTAGCAGGGTGTGTGATAAATCTTTTAAGGCCATTATTAAAATGGTTGTGGATAGATATCTAAAATCTTGCAACCTCCTGACAAATGTTATCTTATCACATAATTACCGTCCACTTCTATCATATCATTCTCTTTTTATGTCTTCTGGCAGAACGAGACGTCAATACATCCGTATCGATGCATGAAATCAAAGGTAAAAAAAGCTCTAAAATACCTTATCTAGCAAATATACTATGTGACGAACAGGTTGTTAGAACTGACCTAGTCAATAACTTGTATTCTCAGACATGTTTCCAATTAAAAAACGTTGTATAGATTCAAATCTTAAAAAAGCATTTCATTTAATCCCAAGTAGTTTATCTACTTAAATTATATATATGGAGTTATTAGTTTCTTTTTTGTAAAAGAAACTTGTTGAAATACTTTGTGTTGAGAATTCTATACTGTACCAAAGTTGTAAAGCCATTAATAATAATAATAATAAAATTACAATGGAGGTTTTGTCTTTTTGAGGGGAAAACTTTCGTGTAATAAAGTAAAGTTTTATCTAATTCATATTTTATGTTATAGTCTATGGCCACCCAGTGATAATGCTGTACAAACGGATAAATGAATAATCATCTGAAACGTAGCATTATTAGAAGTGTAAACTGATAAGCACCTACCGATATTCATTAAGGTTAACTTTGTCATATTTTTGACCAAATTATTATGTATAGTTTTGTTTGATTCAGTAATTACTATTGTTGCTTGATTATTATCTTCATTTCGATTAGGTTCATATTGTGTCGTTACATTATCCAGTTGTTCCACAGGATCAATATCAATTTGTAGTTCAACCTTTGTATTAAATTGACATGTCAATTCACATGCAGCTTGAGTTGGAAATCGATTACTATTTCCACCACAACCAGAATAATTGAACTGTCTACAGCCGCCAATTAAGTAATGATCTTGTCCATCCATATTCATTACCCAATTAGGATCATAATACCACATAGTCTTGTATCCGGTACATTCGCCAAATGAAGGTTTCAATTTACAGATAGCTATTAAATAATAAGAAACTTTGTTTTTATTTTTATTTCTTCAGTTTTTTTTCGTCGAAATAATCACTATGAGAAAGTTAAATTAACCAAAATTTATTAAAACATGAGCCTCACACATGTAATAGTAATTGTTTTCCAATAAATAAGCTACAAATGAAGAGATATGACATTTAAAAGCGTTTCTTTTATCGTACTTCCAAATTAAATCATACTTTTAATGTAAGAAATATGCAAAAATTATAATATACCGAGTTCATAATACAAGACGAACGAAACAATTGAAGGCTGGGGAAAAATCAATTTTTGAAATAAATTCAAAAATCCACAGAGTATCATATTGAGCTTGAAAATAAATCTATGATCCTACTATAATTAAAGGATCAACTGCATAAATTAGGTTTTAGATTCACTAATGTTCTCCAGGAAGGTTTGTACATTATATACATAAAGATTATAATTCAATCTTTATATAATTTAGATGAGTACCAATAGTTCACATAGGCATGGTTAAGCATAAAAAGCTACTCTTAAGCTGTTCTTCCGTAATAAATAAATAACAAACAATTTCAATAATTGAGATGATGAGTCAATTGAAGCTAGACCACCATGGAAAACCTGGAAGCACTGGACGGCCGTTTTGCTTTATTGTGGGACTCGTCATCAGTGCACATCCACGACCTCACCTCGCGAGATTCGAACCCAGGACCTATCAGTCTCACGCGCGAGCGCTTAACCGTTAGACCATTGAGCCAGTTTCGAATCCGGCGAGGCGGGGTCGTGGATGAGCACTGCTAAGGAGTTCCAAAATAGGACGAAACGGCCGTCCAGTGCTTCCAGGTTTTTCATGGTGGTCTAGCTTCAACTGACTCACGATCTCAATTATTGAAACTACGACAATCTCCACAAAACCCCTTCTGATACTAACAAATTATTTGTTAAGTACTAATTTCAAACATTGTTGTCATTTACAAAAACATAATTTAGACGATCAGATACATTTGATATATTTCCTATTGTTATTAATAAATGGTGCAACCTATACTTTAAGTAATAGTCTTCCAAATGATACATATTCAAATGTACGCTTTCACATGAATGAACACAGAATATTGATTATATAACTACCTTAACTTTCCTATAACCTTTTATCTAGCTGATAAAAAGTGACATATATATCACGGTATGCTATGAATACTGCTGGCATCATATAGATCATAATCATATTTAAAATCATTATCACAGGATAGCTGGGTTATCACGATCTTATCACAATGTTGTTTTAAAACTTACTTATTTACTCAGATTGATAATTGTAAACGTTGAATATAAATAACTGGTGGCAGTACGATTCAAACAAATTGTTCACTTTTATTTATAACAAACACTTTCGTTTTCCTATTTAATTTAAGTGCAAGAATAGGTTGTTTAATAGTAATGAGTTATTTTTTAACAATATATCAAGGTGTTTACTACGATAAGAGATTCCTCATTTATTATTCATTACTTTCTTCCTAAATGAAGAATCTGTAATCATAGTAACCTCCTTAATATATTAATAATTAGTCTCATTAATATTAGGCAGCCTTTAGTTTAATGTTTATTGAGTTTTTAACTAAAATCTTTATGGAACTTTTCTAGGTTTACTGCTGGTCCCGATAAATAGAGAAGGGTTTGAGGAGGGACTAGTAATTCCATCCAGTAAAAAGGAACCTTGCTAAAAATCCCTCAAGACAGTTTTGTTGTACGTAGTTAAAACATGTATAACTAATACAACCATGACCAAAAGGGTATGGGTATTTACAAACAGCTATCTATGCAAGATAGTCTTGACACGTTGACCTGGTACCATGAGCAAAAATGTACTATGGTAGAGAATAAACCAACTTTCGGCTGAGTTGAAAATTAGAAAAAGACGCTGAAGGTGGAAATCATCAAACTCCATCACGAGGTAAGCCATAACTTCAGATCCTCAAAGTAAAACGAAAAGAGGTAGATCGAAAAACACATTACACCGGAAATCGAGGACAGACATCAGAAGAATCAGTGGTACTTGGGGACGTCTTGGAACGAAAGTCCAGTACACAGTAGGTTGGAGATGGCCGTTCGGCGGCTTATGCTTTACAAGGAGTAGCAGTAAGTAAATTTTCGAACTAAGAGATACATAATTAAATGAAATTATAACAATCTCACATACTGCCTTTGATCTAAAAAATGGTATTGGTTTACCTACCTGATATATCAGGTTTTGTAGCCCCACAAAATTGTTCACAATCAGCTCGTGTTAAAAAGTTATTTGAAGACCCACCACAATGGGAATATGCGAATTCCTGACACTGATTTGTTTCAACATCAAGATACCAACGTGATTCATGTTGACCGACATTTGAGCATTCTGGTTCAATGTGCATAGCGTCAATATAGGTAAGATTGTCAAATAGAATAGGTTCAGATGTTTCTTTAGAATAAAATTGACCATCTTGGCTGATTTCACTCCATGAATCCATTTCTATTCTTGACCATTGTGGAAATAACTGAGTTGTTGGCGCCACTTGACAAAGCTGATTGGCCACTGAAAACAAAACGTGATCACAATAAACATAAAAATATGAACTGTCTTATTTCAAATCTGTTGTTTGAAGATGGAGAGCTTGTTGACGTGATCGAAAGTGCTCTCTTCTGTGGAGTCTCAAACTAGAAGAAAATAGATATTTAGTGCTTTCTTGGTTTTCGATGGTTCACTAGTCTCTGTAAGTTCACGAAAAGAACTGGGTTCAGAAATGTTATCTGCTCGGGCTAGATTTATGGCCTAATAAAAAGATACTGTAAGATATTTTGCACGAAGGACGCTAAATGAAATGTTAATCAATAAGATTTAAGCTAAACTATGTCGGCAGAAAACGTCTTTCTAGATTAAATGCTACATTTCTGCTCAAGAATTTCATAAAGAATAAGATGAAAATAATCAATGAGCAAACTATTCCATACCATTTGAACATAATCTTATTAAAATTTCTCTTAAACAAATAAATTTGACACAAGCCTTCATTTTCGAGGAAATTTATCTAACTCTTGACCATCTTACAACGTAGTATGACGAATACACCTAAATATTTGACGCGTTATATTAGGAATTATCAGCTATGACTGAAAAGTCCCCCTTAAAAGTAAATAATTTTACGTCAAATAGTGAATCTCTAAAGTATCTATTTATAAATAGGTGAATATATATTATATTCGAACAAGCATATTAGGGCTTAATTCATTTTTCAAAATTACTGAGTGAAACAAAGTGAACTGATTTCAGGATACCAGTATATCACGAAGCTTGAGGTCTTTAAGACTTACATTATTATCATAATAATCTTTTTTTATAAGTTGTATGTTTGCGTTATAATGTTCGAACTACAATAATTCTAATCGTGCTTTATTCATCTACAAAATATATTGCACCAAATTTGATGAAACTTTAAAAACACAAGTTAATTGTTATCCACTTACCAAGTAAAATTTTGTATGCAATCAAATTTCCACAAGTATTTTCACATTCTGTTATAGATGTGAAACGGTTTGCACTGCCTCCACATCCATAATAGGTAAACCAGCGACATTTTCCAGAGACTTTATCGAAATAAACCATTAGAATTGGTCGTATGGTCCTTTCTGTATTCACAGCGGAACATTGAAAATGACCCGCTTGAGGTGGAGCTAAACATCGAGCTGTACCTGTATCATTAAGAAAATACTTTCATAATAATCCTTTATTATAGGTTCTTATATAATGAGATAGATAGATAGATAATTGCCAAGATAAACTGATCAATTGAATCGCATTGCACACTAAAGCATTGCCTATATTAACAGATACGAAATTAATCAGGAAAAGCTAAATACATTATGTCGTTCTCAGTCATTGTATGCATTATGGTGGATGTAGCTTTTATCTAGTTAAATGTAAATTTTATGATCAGATACTTTAAAATTCAATCAAAAGGTAATTCAGAATAACTAGTAGTAAACACGAGGTGAACTTAAATATAAAAGTAAACCTACCTCATCTTATTTAGTTTTTTTGCTCGAACAACTTAAAAAGGTTCAAAATATACTACTGCAGATAGATTTCGTTGTAAACTAAAATGATCCGTCATTTGTTTCTTCTGGTTTTGTTATGTTTGAAGCTTAACGAGTTCACTTAGATTGCGAACGAGAACGAAATCCGGTGATCAAGGTCCAGTAAGCTAGCTATTGCTGCGCCCCAGCCCCGCTATCTAGAGGGAGAAGTCCAAGCTTGAAATAAGAAGTGTATTCTGCAGCAACCAGAGAAAAGAGCGAAGTCTCTTAGTAGAAAATATACTCGTTTACATATTGATTGTACCCCCGTTTGATTAATAATCAGAATAAAATCACATAAATAGACAATACTCACAGTTATAACAAATCATATGCTGAGAATAGTTCATAGTCAATAAAATACAAGAATATTGCATATTATACAGAATAACTATCATACGAGAAAAGGAAAGAAATATTACAATGCGTAATCATTACATTAAATCAAAAAAGGATGTAATGATGAATAAAACTCATATTAAGTAAATCAATCAAGTATTGATTTTTCTTCCCATCATATCCCCCCCCCTTTTTAATAGCATGCCTTCCTGGGGTCGACCTGCAGCCTGACTCTTGGTCGCCGTTGTCGTAGAGGCCACCTTCTGGAACCGAGATCAGCTTCTTGTTGTGCTTCTTCTCGTGGTGGGGGTGCTGGTACGTTGAAGGTATCAATCAAGATGTCAAGAGGAAGATTTGCTCCTGTTGATGGGCGGTCAGGGGTTATCCTCTTCCGTAGTTGGTTTCTGTGTCTTGTCCATTTGTCTCTTCCCACCTTTACCTCGTACATAACTTGGCCTGATCTTCCAACCACACATGCATCGATCCAAGGATCATGGTTTGCTCTGTAGTCTCGAGCGAACACCGGGCATCCAACCTCGTATGCTAGCAGCTTCTGAGATATGGTCTGAGGTGGTGGTGGTGGTGTGGTTCTTGGGCACATAAGACTGTGGATCGTCCTCAATTTTCTTCCCATTAGGATCTCTGCTGGGGACTTTTGCTCCGGCAAAGTCTCATTTGGTGTTGTTCGGTACAGTTATAAGAAATTTCGCAACGCGTCCGCCGGCGTCCCCTCCCTTTTTGTCTTAGCCAAAGCTCTTTTAAACGTATCCACAAACCTTTCTGCTTGCCCATTCGACTGCGGGTGGTATGGTGGCGACCGTAAGTGCTTTATGGTTAGCCGTTGACAAAATGACTGGAATTGGCCGGAGGTGAACTGTGAACTGTTGTCAGATACAATGGTATCCGGTATACCATTTCAAGAGAAAATTTCTGTGAGGATTTGTATTGTTCTAGTCGTCGTTGGCGGTATTATAGGGTTGATTTATGGCCATTTTGAAAGGGCGTCGACTACAACTAGATACATGGTTCCTTTAATCGGGCCTGCAAAGTCGACTTGTATCCTGGACCAAGGATGATCAGGTTGTGGCCATGAAACTGGTGGAACTTTGGTGTTCACTTTTTCCACTTGCTGACATCGCATACATTTTCCAACCAATTCTGTTATACGTTGATCCATAAGCGGCCAATATGCATGACTCCTGGCTATGGATTTCATTCGTCTAACCCCCGGATGACTAAGGTGGAACTGTTTCAGCACATTTGCACGAAGGGATTCTGGCACAACCACTCTTCCTCCGAACATCAAGCAATCGTTTACAATGCTTAACGAATCCCGCCGCTGATACAGCTGTCTCATGTCACCTTCAAACTTCTTAGACGACCAACCTTTGGTGACATAGCTCATAGTCATCTTGATGATGGGGTCGCTCTTAGAAGCATTTTGTATGTCGGTTGCAGATACCGGCAAAGCTCGTATTGCGGTCGTCAGATAACATTCAGCGTGGTCTATCGCTAAAAGAGATGCGATTACCGTGTCTTCCTCAGCCGCCAACTGGTCACTAATGTGTCGTGATAAGGCATCCGCCTGACCGAATTGTTGAGTGCGTCGGTATTGGATCTCGAAATCATACCCCAAGAGTGCTAAGGCCCATCTCTGAAGACGATTTGCAGAATGAGCTGGAATGCCAGATTTTGACCCGAATATTGCGAGTAAAGGCTTGTGATCTGTGAGAAGCGTGAATCTCCGACCATATAGGAACTTGTGGAAACGGCGCACAGCAAACACAAGCGCAAGAGCTTCCTTTTCTATCTGGCTGTATTTTTTTTCTGCTAGGGTTAGTGTGCGGGATGCATGTATAACGACTTTTTCCGACGCATCCGGAAACTCATGTGAGATAACAGCACCTAGGCCATACGCTGAAGCGTCTGCAGCTACGATGATCGGCATGGCTGGATCGTAGTGTGTCAACAGCGATTCCGAACAAATAATAGACTTCAGTTTACAAAATGCCGCATCACACTGTTTAGTTCAGTTCCAAGAGCTGTTCTTCTGCAGTAAGCTATTCAGTGGAGCGCGAATATCATGCATCGATGGAACGAACGCTGTGTAGTAGCTGACAAGTCCTAGGAAGGAACGTAGTGCCGCGACATTAGTTGGAGTGGGCATCAGTTTGATAGCTCGGATATTCTCAGGATCCGGTCTGCGGCCATCGGCATCGAAAATAAACCCCAAGTACTTTACCGACTGCAAATAAAACTGACATTTCTCTGGGCGTAACCGGAACCCGTTGTCACTGATGCGTTGCAGTACCAATGTCGTGCATTCTCGTAGCTGTTCTAATGTCGCCGCTACAATTAAAATGTCATCCAGATAAGCCGCGACTCCAGGGATACCTGATAGGATGGTATCCATTAGTTGCTGGAAAATAGATGGTGCAGTTTTGACCTCGAAAGGTTGACGGTTATACTGGAATAAACCACGATGGGTATTGATAGTTAGCAGCTCTCTTGATGCTTCATCTACTTCCACTTGCAAATAAGCATCAGCTAGATCAAGTTTAGCGAAAAACCTTCCTCCATTCAGCATGGTAACTAGGTCTGCTAGAACAGGTAAAGGATAATGATGTTGTTCCAGAGCTGCATTGAATTCTGTTGAAAAGTCAGCACATATACGTATCGTGCCGTTAGTCTTTTTGATAACAACTATGGGTGCTGCCTATATTTATATTTATGTACCCAACTAACTATATGGGGTTAAACCAAGTTACTTTCGGTCTTGTGACATGCACTACATTGTTCAGCCGTTTCCAGAGAATACTTAAATAAATAATTATAATATTCTGATTAATAACTGTGTTCAGTTGTCTCTGCAAAGAGCCACAACCTGTTGAATTAGCAACATCGTGAATGGGGAAGTTACTCATATATGAGACTTTGTAGTGGTTATTTATCTTGAACCGACTGTAGTTTAAAGATATTCGCTGCTGAATTTCAGCTCGTTTATCAACTGATATTAGTTTCAAAATCTGAAGGTGTTAAGTTCGATTCAGTCCCAGCATGCAATTACTAACTAATGATGAGTTTAAATTTACGATGAAACAACTGTTCAGTAAACATTCGGCCTAATGCTTCAGCTGGTGTCACTTCATATTGAAAACTATTTCAAATCAAACAAATTATTACGAATCATCATGGTTTGCGTTCAGTTCCAAGTTATTACAATAAGGCACTTAATAAAAACCAACTTAAAGTTCATAAAAATAAAGCGTCATACTGACATTCAAAAACCAAATTGATTCAACTGTATTTAATTGTTGAGTCTCAACTGTGTCTACACAAAATTAGCTGATTTAATCTAATACATACAAATGCCTATATTACACAGGTTATTAAATTGACATTTGCTTAATATAACAACTACTACAGAAATAACCTTCGTATATAATCATAAAATAAGCACATGAGACAGGCAATAGAAAGTTCATAAATAAAATGAAATAAATACTTGTCATCTTACGCTTGCTGGCAGATGTTGACGAAGACACTCGTAGAGAAAACACAGTTTTTTTAAGTGAAAGCCTGCCTTTTGGCGAAATTTTCCCATTTTTAAACAATGAGAGGCGTGCTACGCTCATACGATTTTGAAATGATGTAGATTTATAGCTCAGTTGGATGATTTCGGTAAGGTTTTGTTCTCTCAACTGGATGTTTTGTTCATGGAGCTTTCACCGTTATTCTGAACGATATCATCAGCACAAACTTCAGGTACAAGTCTTCAACTTAACTTCTACTTGACGTTTGTGCTGATGATATCGTTCAGAAGAACAATCAAAACCCTACGACCAAACAATCTATCCCAGAGAATAAAACTCTATCAAAACTTATCATTTTAATTGCTTTTAATTTCAATTACTGATGTTTATTATTATCCCCAGGTTATCGTTCATTATATGCTATGACGTAAATTATTAGAAAACAAAATAGTTATTAGCTTATTAAACATGTCTGGTTATTGATAACACAATCCAGTTGATAGAAATTATCATGTATGTTGAATATTCAGACGGATTATATCATTGAAAATCCATAAATTCCTATTCTTTTATAATAATTAACTGTATCTTGATACCTGTAGTTTCTGAGACATTTTATATGATTTATTTGCATCTGTTTCATGTTATCATGGAAAAAAAACTAAATATTCCAAGTAATACCTCTCCAGTATTCACATGTTTCAGCGCATTCATTTTTAGTTTTGAAGTAATTATCATTTATAATACAATCAGATGTATATTGACATTGCATTTCAGTTGGATTGTAATACCAACCACCTTGATGTTTTATTTCCGTATCTGTTAGTTTACCACAATTTTTTATTTTTGGATATTGATAACATTTTTCTGTAAACAAAGAAAATAATTAACAGTATGACAATAGAATTCAATAGTAAAGCAACAACTTTTGATCAAAAACATTCATACTACTTCATATTGGACAAGTACGTCAAGCATTTATAGCTCATTTAGTTAATTGTATTTATTCTTCACTTGACAATTATACATCTATGCTTTTCGGGGTAATCTGAGTCATATAACTGTAATCGCTAGTAAAAAAGGTCAAAAATTGGTAGGTTATTAATTAGTTACTCAGTAAATTCAATAATAACTGAAAGAATATTTTGACCACGAAATTATGATTGAATGCAGTTATTTTTAAAGTCTGCTGTAACTTATAACCTTTAAACAAGAGAATCTATTCTCTATGTAGCTTATAAATCTCATTAGATCATATAGAGATAATAACAAAAAACTTATGACTCAGATATTAGTGTACAATCAGTATTTTTAGTTAATTATTAAGAAACAGGATTAACTGAGTAACAGAAAACAGTCTCGTTCAATTGGATTTAAGCGAGATGAATTGTGTGATAGCTGAACTTATTAATTTTTTTCTCAGATTAAACTGATTAGAACCCGTGTAAACTGACACGATGGAAGAGAATTACGATTGATAACCAGCTCTTAATCCCATTGACGAATGTGTGACTTAGAAAACTCATGTTCACCGATCGCTCATTTAGAAATTTTTAATATCTGACTACGTCTGTTTTTTGTCTAATGTCTTGTGTAAAATTGAGTAATTTTGTTGGAAAACTAAACCGATCCTGTTGGCTAGTTTTCTTGACTTTTAATCTCAGTTTGTTCAAGAAAATGAGTTGATAGTTCGAATGCGTGATCAGCTATTTGTTAAGCACATCATATAATTGTGTATTATTCAGTTTGCTGATTTTTACAGTCTAGCCTTTCGGCTATCTTTCATAACATGATCCAGTGAGATTCAGCTCCATTTACAATTATATTCATGCAAAAATCCATGTACTGTTTTTATTTTATTTTTAAATTTGAAAGATTTTAATATTTACAATTATTCAGGTATACTATAGGGAATAATACTTCAAAAGCTTTTAACTAATATTCGATAGGTTAAAGTATTCAACAATCAATTTTAAATTAGATTTGGACATACTACAACTTATGAATAGCGTACTCTTATGTGTTAAACCTGTAACGTTTTGAAAAAAGGTGATACTTGAATTACAGTTTATAAATCCATGTTATCAATAAATCCAATATCTGCCGGGGACTTCTGCTGTGGTAGCATATCAATAGGTGTTGTTCGGTAAACAATCAAGAAATTCTGCAGTGTTTCTACTGGCGTCCTCTCCCCTTTCTACTTCATTAGAGCTCTCTTGAATGTATCCACAAATCTTTCTGCTTGGCCATTTGACTGTGGGTGGTAAGGTGGAGAGCGGAAATGCTTGATCGATAGGCGTTTGCAAAATTCTTGAAACTGACTTGAGGTGAACTGCGAACTGTTGTCGGATACGATTATATCCGGTAATCCGTTGCGGGAGAACATCTCTGCCAAAAGTTGCATCGTTTGAGTTGTCGTTGGTGGCATGACGAGAACGATTTCTGGCCATTTCGAAAAGGCATCAACAACGACTAGATAGGTGATTCCATTAATTGAGCCTGCGAAATCGACATGTATCCTGGACCAAGGATACTCAGGTTCTGGCCATGGGACTGGCAGTACTTTCGCATCACACTTGGCCGCTTGCTGACACTGTGTGCACTTGCCTACTAAATCCACGATATGTTGGTCCACGAGGGGCCAATAAGCATATCTTCTGGCGATGGATTTCATTCGTTTTATACCAGGATGACCAGTGTGGAATTGCTTTAGCACCCTTGATCTTAGGGACTCTGACACCACTACTCTATCTCCAAACATCAAGCATTCATTTACGAAACATAATGAGTCCCGACGGTGATAAAGCTGATACAAGTCATCACCGAGTCCAGTTGGCGGCCAGCTGTTGGTAAGGTATTTCATCGCTCTCTTTATGATGGAGTCGTTCTTGGATGCAGATTGTATTTCAACATTGCGCGTGGTCCTCTGTCATTAAGGAGGCAATAACTGCATCTTTGCCGGCGTATGGTGTTCGCTGATAAGTCGTGACAAGGCGTCGGCATGACCAAACTGTTGGATGCGCTGGTACTGAATGTCAAAATCATAACCCAAAAGTATCAAAGCCTATCGCTGGAGACGGTTTGCAGAATGGGCTGGAACGCCAGATTTTGAACCGAAAATTGTGAGAAGAGGCTTGTGATCAGTGGGAAGAGTAAATCTTCGACCGTACAAGAATTTGTGGAAACGGTGTACTGGAAACACAAGAGTGAGAGCCTCTTTCTCTATTTGACTGTACTTTCTTTCCGCTGAAGTTAATGTGCGAGATGCGTGCATAATAGCTTTCTCTGTTGAGTCCGGGAACTGATGTGAGATGACAGCGCCGAGTCCAAAAGCTGAAGCGTCTGCAGCGACAATGATAGTCATGGATGGATAGAAGTGTGTCAGCAATAGTTCAGAGCTTATTATTGTTTTCAGCTTGCAAAATGCAGCTTTACATTTTTTTGTCCAGTTCCAGCTAGTGTTCTTATTCAGAAGATGATCTAGCGGGGCGCGTATGTCATGCATCGACGGAGCAAAAGCTGAGTAGTAGCTAATTAATCCCAGGAATGATCGTAGCTCAGGGATATTAGTGGAAGTCGGCATCAGTTTTATAGCTCGGATGTTTTCAGGATCTGGTCTGCGACCTGCGGTACCAAAGATGAATCCCAAGTATTTAACTGACTTCAAGAAAAGCTGGCATTTTTCTGGGCGTAATCGGAAGCCGTTATTGCTGATGCGTTGTAGTACAGCTGTCGTGCGTTCTCTAAGCTGTTCTAACGATGTGGCAACAATTAAAATATCATCGAGATAAGGTGCGAACCCCGGGATACCCGATAGAATGGTATCCATTAGTTGCTGAAAAATAGATGGAGCTGTTTTAACACTAAACGATAGGCGATTGTACTGAAACAAGCCACGATGAGTATTTTTGGTAAGTAACTCTCTCGAATCTTCAACCACTTACACTTGTAGATCGGCATCAGCGAGATCCAGCTTTGCGAAGAACTTCCCAACATTTAACATCGTGAACAAATCTGAAGGGACTGGAAGTGGGTCATGATGCTGTTTGAGAGCTGCGTTAAGACCTGTGGAAAAATATGCGCATATTTGGATTGTGCCATTAACCTTCTTAATGACCACAAGTAGTGCTTCCCAGGCAGAATAAGAAACAGGTGTAATAACTCCCTCTAGTTGAAGGTGGTTAAGTTCTTCGTCAACTTTCGATAACGCCGCGTACGGAACTGGTCTCTTTGGACGAAAGACAGGTTTAGCTCCAGGTTTCAACCGAAGTGTTGCTTTCATGGCAGTGCACTGACCCAATACAGGTTGGAAAGTGGTTGAAAACTCCGTCATTAGTTCTTTCAAATATGCTTCAGGATCATGAGGTTAATTCACCAGATGGCATACGGTGCTTAACGGAACGTCAGATAAATGTGGCCGGTCAAACCAGTCTAAACCAAGTAGATTAAGATCATATGGTGTGATGTAACACCCCGGTAAACGTCGAATCGTGAAAAGACACTTTACAATCTAGTTGTCCCAACAAACGTAGATAGTTACCGCATGCAGTCCAAGGTTTCTGTGTTGTTGGCACCGTGCGTGGTCTTCCCATTCTGATCCAATATTTTCGTGAGAGAATTGTTACGTCAGATGAAGTGTCTATTTGCAATCTAGACGGGCGCCTATTAATATTAAGGGGGTTGAGTTCTGACAGAGTGGGTTGGAGAATGCTGGTCGGCGGCCTATGCTCCATTGGGAGTAACAGGCGTAAGTAAGTAAGTAAGAGTTCTGACAGCATGCTATTGGATCTAGACGTAGATTTTCTGGTACCGCTGGAGCTACTCGGCTTCTTTTTTCGACAAAAACCATCTTTATAACCCACTGCATTACATTTCCTGCACCGGTGTTGTTTATATGGACAGTTTCGAACAAAATGCCATGCACCGCAGTGCCAACATGGGGCAGGAGGATTTGTTTTTGTCTCTTGACTTGAATTAGATGTCGCTGGGGCAGATTTATGCGGGTTGGGTGGTTGTTGGACTACATGAACTTCGGTACGATCTGAACCGCCACGCTGGACCATCGTAGTGTCACGCTGTAGGTTGATTAGGTGTTGATATTCGTTTGCAATATCATCGAGGGTTAGTTTTGGGTCTTGGTCCAATCGACTTAGCAAGCGTGTTCTAATGTCACTGAAGTTCTGCCATTAAGGGCTTCAAATGAGAATGATTGCTTTAAATTGGTATTCAGTAAGCGACTTCAACCGGAAGCAATCGCATTCTCGGTTGACGATACCCACATGTGTGAGAAAATCAGCATCTTTGTTCATAGTCAGCTTCAAACATCGATACCGCGCATTAAATAGTAAGGAGTTGTCTCCGAATTGTTGGCTCAATGACTGAACAGTGTCCGAGAATGAGCGATTGCGTGGGTTTAGAGACAGAATTAGGTTGCAATACCTGTCTACTTCACTAGGACCCAACTTTCGAAGCAGCAAGCGGACCTTGCAAGCATCATCCTGGTTAGCAAAGTCAAATTTGAATAAGTCTTCTTAACATTGAAACCACATATCAAACGTGACATTGGATTCTGGATCGTAATGAAACTCGGAGATACTGTTATTGATACCATCAACTGATGGATTGGGATTAGAGCTGCTTGGTTGATTATTAAACGTAAGCTTTGTATCTGCTAACGTTCAAGTTTAGAACGATCCATGTTTCCGAAACCACCGTTGCCAAATTTGCTAGGTTTGAAGCTTCACGAGTTCACTTAATCTGCGTACGAGAAAACAAGACTCAGTGACGAAATACCAGTAAGCTAGCTATTGACGCGTCCCAGCCCCGCTATCTAGAGGGTGAAGTCCAAGCTTAGAATGGGAAGTATATTCTGCAAACAACCAGAAAACGAGCGATCACACAAACACAATTTAATATATATATATATATATATATATATATATATATATATATATATATATATATATATATATATATATACTTTGCCATGGAGCTTTCAAACATTTAATCGATAAGTTCGTCAATCGACTATGTGCGTGGGTGATGGTAAGCAATGCCCACGCATACATCTGCATACAAGCTCCACAAGATAAAATTACAAACTATGGGTTTTTGGGGATCTATCGTCCCCAACATAATTATTCTTAACAAATTTGCGTATTTATTTTGAGCTCATTAGATAACTAGTGAGTAGGCAAAGTTTAGAATAAAATTCTCTAGTAAACATGCATATATATGTGATGCTTGGTCAAATTCTGCATCACTCCAGTAATATTATAAGATAAGTAGACATTAAGCACAATGAATAACAACTATTAATAATGATATTATTGGTTAAATAAATAGTGATAAATGTAATTACAATCGTAAACAAACTCAATACAAAACATACAGATCGAATATCTCAATCATAATGTTTACCACTTATTAACCATGTGATTCCTATAAGGTAATGGATTCATATTTTAAATATAAAATAAATCATACACTTTATTCATTGTTATTCTTATTATATTCATAGTTTAATTCAATTATATTATTGTTGGCTAAGAACTATTAGGTATATTTTATTTTACTTGTTTATAAAGATTATCATATTGATTATTATTTTTATTATTATTATCATTATCAAATTATTACTGTTGTTAAGTATTATGATTAAATGAATGCGAATAGATACAGTCAACTGTATGTTTGTTGATTTTTCATTACTTGGATACAATGTTTTATTGATAAAATGATAATTAGAATTCATATGAAAAATTAATACATTTTAATTGTTTATAAAATAATCTAATTTTCATTGAAATTAATTAAGTTAAATCTTACCTAATAATCAAATATATTGGGTTTGTTAGAAATTTTAAGAATTAACAAACTAAGAAGCTTAGAATAATAACAGTTCCTAGAAATAGGACTAATGAAGGTGATATCAACAATAAATTTATGATAATTAGTTAAATATGTGGTTTACGAACAACATTTAAGTTCCGTCAATATGATCGATCACTTACAGCTTACTAGTTATTTGTACACAAAATATATAAAGTCTTTTATGGAGTAAGTCGTATTTAACGCATAATCAGACGATATATTAATAATATAGAACTTAGTTTCTGTTTGTTTTTTAAAAGTGAATATTTCGTTGGTACAAGTACATTGTATAACTGACAGATAATTATGAATTAAAGTTGCGTTAATTGTGACAGCTAAGACCTTCTAACTCAAAAATGAAACTTATACTGTTTGATTTTGATGAACGTTTTGAGCACAAGCATAAGGCCGATAAGAACGTTGAAAACAAAGGCTTTAGCATATAGAAGAGTGCTCTTCAGCTTTGGAGAATAAAATGGTTTATTTCTAGTTTTAGATTCAATTTGATGCCATTTATCTGCTAATTTATAGTCCATAAATAGATATCTTTCAACTATAGATGATGATAAGAAAGTTCCATTTTTCCGACATCATATTCCAAATTTTTTTGAGCTTATGGCTTTATGCTTATAACGTGGTAACAATAGCATATTCGAGTTATTCAAAATTAAACTATTAAGGTAATAATGGGAAACTTTATTTAAGAGAAAAAGATTTTATGACTTTTAAGTTGATTTTAATAGAATATATATATATATATATATATATATATATATATATATATATATATATATATATATATATATGTAATGAAAAAACAAAAAAATATTAAGATACAGTGAAGGAATAATAGTCATCAAGGCAATTATGATTTTAAATATCACAGGTTGTAAGCAGCTAACGAGAACCAACGGAATAAAATGAATTCATGCTATCCTGCTAGAATGTTTGTTCTTGCTCTTTTCAAAATGATAAAGGGGACTATGTTTATAATAAATATGATTCATAAACTCGTAATTGCTGTTACATTTCTTATTGAACATTGTAAGTAACCCTGTAATACTAGTGAAATAGCATTCGTACATATATTTCGTACAAATAGGAAATAGTAATGTATTACAAGGTCATATAGTTCTATGAATATAGTTAACCTTAATTTGTATGTACGAATATTATATGTAGCCTATAAACTTACAAAATAGTGTTCAAAGTGTAGTGTACAAAGTAGTGTTCATACACATGATTAATTTTATATGATGATTGATTTAATTGTTTTTATGATCATGAATTCAATTTAAATACTGTCGAAATTTTCATCCGGTTGGTCAATCAATATATCAATAATTTCATTTTAATGGTATGTAGATGAGAGGATAGCATCGATGGTTAGCAACTCATAATATAATGATATGTAGTTACTATAAAATACTGATGTGTGGTTCTTTATGAAATAAGATTTTCATGAACACTAGTTATGCGAATTACGGACGTTTGTCTGTAGTCATGACTTGATTATGTTCAACTCTATTTGATTAATTCATCATGATCCCTTTGGCTACAGACTGTCTGTATAATAATAAATTTCATCTTGAGAAACGGATAAGTTAAATGATATTAGTTAGAATATAGTAGCCATTCTAGTTCAATTATAACTGGGACAAAAATACCTATTCTCATATACAGTAAATTAATTTTGTCGAAGAGTGCAACGTTAAGACTTTATAAAGTTATTATCGAAAAGATTAATTTTTTGACAGAAAGAGTTTCGTTATTGTTACAGAATGATAATCTGTAAACTATTCAGGAGAAACGTTTTTAAAATACTACGTTGGAAACGCAGAAAAGGTAAAATAACACGGTTTGTTCTTTTCTTCAAAATTACTAAGAGACTATCATCAGTTTTCATAGACAGACACTACAAAACAGGTGAACGTGTTAGCGTTAGTTAAACTACAAGCTTAAGACTATAAAAGTGATTAATAATATTCATTTACTTAATGCAAGTACATACCATCGTAATGATTACATCTACAAAACAAGTTATATATCCATGAAAGTCTAAAAAAATTCACTTTCATGTTGAATGTTAAAAACTTTAAACCTAGAAGATAGGATCATCTATCTATCCTTCAGGTAGTCAGTCGCAATTTATAGAAACGCTCATTTATTTTTAGTAGAAATTACTTTCAAATTTAGACAAAAAATGCATTTGATTGTAGTAAGTGACATTAGAAAAATGATGTGAAATCCTTCATTTATAATACAAGTGAGAAGTTTGTGGTAGATAATTGTTAATCCATTCTAATATACATTTTATAATCATGTTATGAATAAGAAGTGTGGATAATATTTAGATTAAGGTTAGTCAGTAGGTTTCAAAGTTCTAAATTACTTGGAGTTAAGATATGGGATCAGATGTGAATAAGCACCGGAACTGTGAACTATAGAAATGTTCATCTCCTAATTCTCTGGGAAAGTATAAAATAGAATTAGACAATTAATAATAATTTGTGTGGTTTACCGTTTAAATGCATGGGTGACGTTCATCATCTGCAGTAGTACTGTTCATAATGAAATCACTTTTTGTATAATTTGGTATGACGTTACATTCCCAATATCTAGATCCGGTAATTCTTTAATAGTTCAACGTCAACTGATGGATACTACCTCAATTATTAGACTTTTTAAAATGTTTTGGTAGGAATGAAAACTTACGAAGGCTTATAAAATCTTACTTGTACTTGAGTCCGCATACATTTAACTTTATTAAGACCTTCAATTAAATTATTTAACAGATAATGTCATTCAGTCAGTAAAAATCAGACTATATCCTTGTATGTTTATCATCATTTTTGTATGAGCACCTATGCTTGATCATGTATTAGAGCCTACATACATATTCCTCTTACTGGTATAATTGTTATATTACTTAGGTTATTCGATGTTTTATTTACTTGCCTACATGTGTGTGCTTCTGAAGTACATCTATTAATTCACATTCACATTTCTGTTCTTATCCGATTCGTGTAAATGTGTACAATAATAAATTGTAGTTAATCCTTCGTATAATTTTCTGAAAATTACAAACCGTTAAGAATATACTGAATAAAGATCATCAGGACGAGTGATGTGCGAAGAAAAGGAATCATTTCTAACAAATTCCACCACAGATTAATAAGACCAACAGCTCGATTGGAATTCTCAATCCGGAATTTACTAATAATATTTTCTGAAATATTACTTGAAGAATGCTTGAAATTCATGTGTCGAAAAATCTGTGATTAAAATAGTTTCATTAATTAACAGTATGTTTAAAACTATATATGGATAAGTAGTCGTTTATGTTCCTCTGAAGTGAAATAAATTTTCCAATGTAAGACAAGCAGTTAAAACATAAATAAAATATTAGGTTTTATAGAAAGTAGATGGACAAACATACCTATCAAGACATTCCTTTCGTAGCTTCGTTCAATCGGCTGACGGTTGGTGGACATACTTACCAGTTTTACTACAGATAACTTCTCATTAGCACTGGTATTGGTATCATTCTGCAATGTTGTGCTTAAAGAGATATTATCAGTCGAAATTTCAGTAACTTGGATATCTTGTTTGGATAACGCTGACAAAGATTTGTCTGTATTTGTTGAAACTTCCATTTCATCAGTGAATACCTCTGGCACTATTTTTGTTTGATTTAATTTTTGATCAGTGCTTTCAAGTTCCTGAAGTTTGTCCAGAAACGTTTCATTTTTGTTCCCTAAGTTTTCTTCCGTTACACCAACATGCTCTTGCGACTGACTGGGTATTTCGAAAATATCGTTTGATTCTATCATATAATCAGTATACAAACTTTCATCTGTTTCAGTAGAGTGGTTGGAAGGTATGTGATCATCAGTATTTGGACTTAAAACATCTGGATTATTATCCGTTGTAATCGAAGATAAGGTTTCTTCAGTTATCGTATTCAGTAACGGTTGTGATTCAATACTTTCTGTAATAACGATTCCATTTTCATTTTCAAAGTTACTTGATTTGATATGTAGAGCAGTAATTATTTCTTCATTATCGTTCGAGTCGTTTGTTGCAATCTCAACCCTGTAAGAAGAGAAATATAGATGCTGGAAAAAAGATGTTTTATTTCTTAAAATATATTTAACTTATTAGTTGTGTTCAGCTTCAGATAATAAACATAGCTGATAAGGTGATTTACATTTAGGTTTCAAATGATTCAAAGCTCATCATTATGACCAATCTGTAACCTTATATGATTTCGTAAAGATGTGGATATTAGAAAAAAAATCATCAGACACTGAATTCGGTCTTATAGAGGCATCCAAAAATCTAAATTCATTCCCATTTCGTCTTTTGGCACTCATATTTTGTTAAAAGTACGGTGTAACCATTAACATACGTAATGCTTTATCAAGTTTCACCATATTCATCGGTAAATTGATTGACAGTGTTGAATTAAAATCAAGAATAAGAGTATAAAAACTGACATTTAACAACGATTTCGTCAGTACCATTAATTTTGAGTTGTAAAAGGGAAATAAATTTGCCACACTTCGAACGTAAACTAGACACATAGTTCTATTTTATTCATGCTTACTTCATACAAGCTTCCAAAACTTATCATTCAATCTCTCATTTGTAGCGAAAAATTACGGAATCAACCTTTATAAAGTTTAAATTCCATTGAATTTATATTTCATTAGTACATCTGTCATAACTAAACAAAGAATATGAAGTTCACTTTTTTTCAGCTAACCCCAGGTCTCTTTCATTAAAAGCAAAATCACTGTTAATAGAAGCAGCTACTTATTACAAACCCGTAAATTATCATCAATGTATCTATAAAAGGTATGTTAATTGTAGACTAGATCTACTTATATCATAAAAGTTCAAAAAATCTTCATGAGTCAATCAGCTAGTTTTTCATGGCTACCAAAGATTATTATCGTAGAAACATGTTTTCAATAAATTCTTTTCTCATTTCATACTGACGTCATTTACTGATATAATTTCAAAGTGGTGAATAGCCTAACATTCCAAATCTTTAAAATGGATTCTTGATATTATTTATTTATAAGATGATGACTCATCACCTTTTGTCTCAATAGGACATATCACCCACATTTTGGACTCGACTGTTATACTAAATGTAACAACTACAACGATTTCTAACTAGAGATCTTGCTCATGTCATATATGCGTGATTAATAAACTACTCAGTTTATAGAATTATGAATATAAACCCTGTTGTTTAGACATGGTTCGTGAAATCACCTCTTGAAACCTATATAAAATGTTTTAGGAGTACATTTAAACATCCTATATTAACCACCAATGACTTTATTCCAGTAATAAATAATGAGTAATAAATAACAATCAGAGTGTCTGTCTGATTTGTGTTGAAAACTTTAAGGTGCTAAAATATAAATGTGATTAACGAAAAATAAATAATTTCGACTGTTTCCTTTCATCAGTAATTAACATAATCCAAGTTAACATGTGAAAAAGAGCTAATCATTCATATTGTTCTTCACTGATTCTAGAAGATTTTATGTAGTGTAGTATTAAGTGGTGAAGTGTCATATAATCCCAAAGGTCATCTCATAAATATAGCTCTAGTTCGAATCTCACGGGAGGGCGGATTATGAATGTGCACTGGTGGGGAGTCCCATGCTAGGACGAAACGGCCTTCCAGTGCTTCCAGGTTTCTCATGGTGATCTAGCTTCAGTTGACTCATGATTTCAACTAGTGAAATTTCTAAAATCTCCACAAAACCCCTTCTGATAATACTATTTCAATAAATTATGATATATTCAATCAAATAATTTTATCTTTTCTATTGTAATTAAATGACTTCTCAATTTATGCCACCGTTTTTTTTAATTTGAATTAGTGTACAATTGGAGTACAGATCAGATATGTTGTTTTCCTAACCTTTAGGAGACAGTTTATAAGCCGGAATCAAGATCAAGTTACATCAGTTACCGTTTATCTTTTCTTGTCGAATGGAAAATCGAGCCAAACTTAATATCATTTTCCTAACATAGTAGTCTCTCCAGTTAACAGTGGTTGAATTTTTCTTCTCATAAGAGCTTAGGTAGTTTTATCAATGTTACAGCTCCATAATCGATCATTATTGGCTATAATGGGTTGCCAAAATGGTATAACAGTTTATTGTTAATATAATCACTTTTGAATTAAGTTCTTGGGCTTTTTGATAAATCACAAAAGTGAAACTACTATATTGTTATTAAACTGCTACACTTTCTCTAAGCATATTTCTTGTTATTGCATTAGGATTTGTGTTGTGGTATTTTTAATGAAGGCAATAATCTATTATCCTCAAAGATTCACATTGACATACACCTGTATTCATATAAATTATAGTGAGCGTGAACATATTTCATTGTTAAGTCTCTAATAAAATAATAAAATTATTGCCTTTTTATGTGATCATCTTCTTCTTAGCGATGAGCCAAAATTGGTAAACAAAGGTAGACAATATGAGTTATCTTAAAAATTTAAAAATACGCAAACGAAAACGAAAGAATTAGAATGAAATGATCATTTTGGAATAAACTACAAGCCATTATTAAGAATCATTACAACAACGGAAGAAACCCATTGCAAATTTGGGGAACAATTAAGATACACTTGATATTATTTGTTTGAATCTTCCCAATGATGTTTAGGACGGCAACTGATCAGTCATTTATTAGCATATGTGCATACTATGCGTAAATAGGACTAAACGCACATCCTGGATTCCATTGCTAGCCACTATCCATCTTTGCATATAATGCTTGTGAATTAAGGCTATATCGAGACGATACGCACAGTATGTACATATGCCAATTGTAGTCCCAAAAATCAATGTGAAGATTCAAACAAACAATACCAAGTGGATTTAAATTTCACTCTATTGCACAAACAAGCGGCTATCAGGACTCAGTAGCTGAGTGGATAATGCGATGGCGTTTGAAGCGAATGGTACTGAGTTCGAGTCCCAGAGTGAACATCAACTCTGAGATGCAGGTACATCCAGCTGACTAGTCCCAAATAGAACGAAACGCTCTATATAGTTCTACTTAAGGTTGTCAACTTGTTTAATCTGAAAGATAATTAGCCACTTGATGAATATGTAAAAGTAAAAGATAAAATGAAGAAACAAATGATTGATGGTAACGTCTAAGATAAAACGTGGTGATTACTAGGACTAATATAACATGAGAAAATGAAAGTATCATTTTTGAATACTGATCAAGGTTGAAATGACTATTATTTATTTATTATTAGATTCGTGTATATTAAATAACTATAACTACGACTGAATGTTTATCGGTGAATCACATGGTTGAGAAGAATATCTTCACTACAACTTATTGATGCCACTTTCTGAAGTATTTAATTACAATAATTCAATAAATAACTTACTGATTTTTGTTTAATGGTTCTAACTGAGTTTCTTCATCAGCTGAAATTAAAAAAAACGTTTGAATATAGTTTGCTTTATGCTGATGAAATATATTTCTCAATACCATTTAATATAATACTTGAAAGTAGGCTGTATCATTTTAAATAGAAAAAATAAGTCCTGATTGCTTGTTATTTTATGTTAACAAACCAATTAAAGGAACCGTTATTATTTGATGGTGTTAGAATTGGAGTTCAATAATTTAAGTACTTAATTTTCAAATACAAAGTGGTCAGTTTAAAACATTTGATAGTTTCTTATATTGATGGTATTCAGATATTTTCAAACAAATGCATAAATTTACACTCAGTCAATCGTTTGCATTGATTTCATTTGCAACAAGCTACATGTAATTAAGAAAATTGATTCAATGAAGCTCAGATAATATTCTAAGAAAGGTTTATTCTGAATTTAGATCGTTATCATTACATTGACCAACTAGAGTCCCAAATACCGGCAACAGAAAAGTTGAAATCCCTTCTAATAACTTAAAACTCGTTAAACAGGTCAAAGTTCGTCTGGACTCAATGGCTTAGTGGATAATCCGTTGATGTTTAAAGCAATCGATAACATGTTCAGGTCTGAATGTGAACATCAACAGCAGAAGCCAATTTGTTTATCTGATGAGTCCCGAATAGGACGAAACACTTGTTATAAATTCCATCGATAGTCATATTTTAACTAAAGTTGTGTAACCAGATGGTAATATAAGTAGATTTGCCAAGGACTTAGTCCTGAGTAATGTCAGCAGAGAAGTACAAACTATTACTAGCTACCTTAAGAAATAAAGATCAAGAGAATAGTCGGGTTTTTCAAACATTATCTTTTACGGAGACAAAAAGTTTTTTCTCTGGTCCTTCCTCTAGGTTATTCGTGAAATTCTGGTTAAAGATCTAAACAGAGTCTCTGAAAGAATGTAGTAAGCTATGAGTGTCCTAATTATCCGAGATTAACTGTTTGCGTAAGTCTTTTTAAAGAAATGGATTACACAACGCAGTAATCAAGATATATCTGTTATGTTCAATGTATAAATTGCTGACTTCTTTGATAATACACCGATTGTGTAAAACTCTCATGTACCTGATTTACTAGGAGGATGCTGCTTTGTTGTTCAGATCTGGAATCATTTTTTTTACCAAATCCCAATTGCTTAGACATTATCACACATATTTCAGGTAGAAAAAAGTATGGCTTCTCTACATCTAAGCCATTTATGACCTACTGAACAATGAGGAGATACAACGTACTATCTTTATTGTTTCAAACCAGAAGTAAGGTTAGAATGAGTTGTTTCATCTTACAGTTTCTCATCGATTTCACCAGTAATGATACCTTAAAACAACTCTTAACAAAATATATACTAATGGTTTCGGACTTATTCATACCGGTCTTGATCTTCTTCTCTGCTGTTTCAATGTCAATTGGCTGTGAAATGTTTTGTTGCTAGAAACCATACCTTACGGTTATGAAACTTGCTCTTTACAAGCTGAGGATATCTAATACCTTTCTGCCTTTGATCATAGTTGGGCTCAAAGGACCTCTTACAAAAGGTGATTAAACAGCATTATATATATATATATATATATATATATATATATATATATACACTTTGAAAGACAGGCTTTAGTATCTTGGTCATATTCTATGTATGCCATCCTTTTGGCTACCATATTTTTAAAATAAATACGAATAGTTAAATCATTATGAAGGCTAGTAAGACGAGAGATAATCAGAATGGATTGGAATCCCTTGGCTCATGACAAATCCTATTTTACAATCTTAAAAGCCCCAAAACTCTGTGTATTGATATATTATCAAGAACTACTCGGAACAGTATTCACCAACAATCCCACTGTAGCTTTCTGCTGTATTCTTTGTATCAATAAAGTGAACAATAGGAATGAATGAAATCTATCTTGACTGTGTTATTATTTGAGTTGAATCTAGTAGTGTACATTACTTTATTTATCGATTTGCTAAATGTATGGTTTCTATCCTTTTTTCATCGTAACGATTTAATTTCATTGTTTTATGGTTCATTTCTTGTTATCCTATTGTACATAGTGGTTTTTATGTTACTCCTAATTAAATTGGATAAAACAATAAACTCTCACCCGAAAAATTGTATAATTCTTTCGAATTAAAATTTATTTCTTCTGTAACATTATCTTGTTCACCTACTTCATCTTCTTTTCCCTCATATTCTAAAGTATTTGTAACTTCACTAGATTCAAACGTTTCCACATCATTATTATTATCATTTTTAACGGAAGTAGTCTAAATATCAAATAGAAATTAAAAATTACATTTTTTAATAAATAACAGAAACTAAATATGTGTCAATGCCAAGGTTGAACTTGATACTTACACATAAGTTGAGTATTGAGTTAATAATAAATATTTTTTTGTTATATCCCAATGAGTAGAGAAATTGTATATTCTAACGTTTCGTGACTTAATGTAAGCCACTTCTTCAGAGCAAATAAATAACTGAATTAAATTAACAGAAGTATGTTTCCTTTGTATTATTTATATTTCTGTCAATTTAATGTTTTTATTTTGTTTGTTCTGAAAAAGTGGCATACATTAGGTCGCGAAACGTCAGAAATACAATTTCACTACTCATTGGGATTTTTAAAAAATTATAATTATTATTAACAGAGATCAATAATTGATTAAACATAAAAACCTAATTTGACTCAAATCCTTATCGATTATTATGGAGGATATTGTTAATGCACAGAGAAAGCACATATATATATATATATATATATATATATATATATATAGAGAGAGAGAGAGAGAGAGAGAGAGAGATAGATAGATAGATAGATAGATAGATAGATAGATAGATAGATAGATAGATAGCCATAAAGATGTAGGTTACAAAAAGCGCTTTACAATTAACCAAAACTTGAAATCATCATGTAAATATTACTTGATTATTTTTAGAGAGAAATCTGGTATTTTTGTTGTATATTTTATTTCTCAAATGTGTAGAAACTTCATTAAAGTTTTCAAAATACCTTTATATATGACTGAAACAACTCTATTTTTTTAAATAAGCAACACTGTGTTTATTACATAACACATAAAGTGTTCTCAGAAATACACCACCATCAATCATTAAATGGAAGTTAGTAACAAACTAAATTTTGATGACACAGGATTTTCATTAACTAATGAATTACTGAATAGTTTTGTTCATATAATATTAAATTGGCTTTATTACGCTCGTAGATGTATATTGAAATGAGCCCATTTTTTACCTAAGTTTTTCTGCAGTATTCCAAGAAAGATAGAAGATACATTTGCTGGATAAAATGATATTCAACTAATAATATTAGAAATTAGTTTTTCAAGCTACATTGTACAAACTGACTTCAGATGATTACTCACATAACATAAGGATATATATATATATATATATATATATATATATATATATATATATACCTACGCTTTCACTTAAAATTTACCATCTGATTTTAAGATTTTATGGTTGAAATACCATAAACAGACAGCTGTATGTCTAATTATTATGATTCTCTAAAGAAATTTCAGCCACTTAATATTTCATAACGACTTGTATTTATTTGAAGTCTTTAACTTATCTCCATAAAATGAAACAATCAAAGTTACAAATCTTCTAAAAAACATAAAAGACTTTGCGGTTAGATATTCTTAATCCCCAAAGAAAACTTATACTTCTTTTTAGTATTAAATTTAAACCAATATCACTCATGGTAATATGTCTATTGCATTATACAGCATAAACTTACTAATTGCTATCATTGAAATTTATCAAAGTAGCAAGTTTGAGTTCATTGATCCATAAAATATTATACAAAAGACGTTACTTAGATAGTAGATACTTATAACATACTTTACTGACAATGTAATATATATAAAATGACAGAACCGTGATTAGTTATTGTTTCAGATTCAGTAAATATTCTTTTAATAGTTGAATTCATGAATCGATTAAAGCTAGATCACCATGAAAAACCTGGAAGCACAATCCCGCCTCGCGAGTTTCGAACCCAGGACCTATCATTCTCGCGCGAACGCTCAACATCTAGACCACTGAGTCAGCATTTAACGGTGCTAATTTCTAACTTCACAATAGAACCGGTTGAACTTAACTGGTCACGGCTTCTCACTAGGACTCCTTTGTTCACATATAAGTTTATTTATCTGAAATAAATTTTTTCAGTGAATTAATAAGTTTATATTGTCTGAACTTAATTTATGTCAAGAGATAGAAAAACGAATTAATGAAATAAAAAAACATTAAACTCAAGTTGGACTAAATACTTAACCTTTGGTTGTTGATTTTATTTATTTATTACAATCCTGATCAGATAAATCATGGGAAAACAGTCTGCTTTAATCCAATCTATGAATTACAAAATACGAGTCAGTTAGCAACTGCTTATGATGAATTGTTGTTATACGATATTCAATTAAAATGTTTCCTTTCTGACATCTTGCAGTTTGCCGTATTGCAAAAAGTATTTATTACAATTATATATTCAACATATGATTATAATTTATTTTTCATTTACAGAATTGTAGGGACAATATCAATTTAAGTCTTCATTTAGAATCATTCTATTTCTCTCTCTTAATACATCACTCCTTAAATACAAAAATATGAAGGCACCTGTAGATGACTTCGCAGTATCATGAATTGATTAAAGTTAAATGTTAATCATTAGATTCTGAATTGAAAATAAGCACTTGTTGCAAGACCTGAATATCCCGTGTTCAACCACTGGTAGGTTAATTATTGCGCACTGTTGAGAAGTCCCATATTATTATAAGACATCTGCATAATACTCCTTGATTTTCAACGGTGGCTCAATTTCATGAATTGGTTGAAGCTAGAAATTAACACCGTTGGATGCCGGCTCAGTGGTCTAGTGGTTAAGCGAGATTGTGGATTAGCACCGCTGAAGAGTCCTACACTAAGTCCAAACGGCCGTGGAGTGTTTCCAGACTTTTCATGGTGGTCAATCATGTTATCATTGTTATGTAATTTAATCATACTAGGATCATTAAATCAAAGATATAACTATTCATAATAAATAATAATAAATTCTAACTTACTTTAACATAACAACAGCTGAGAATTAATATAAGTATACTTATTATTACAATCAATTTTTCATTCATTATTTCAAAAGAATCATTTATTATTATTATTGTTATATTTTTTAAACAACCGTATCTAAATTAATTCCTATGAGTTAGTTTCATTCGATTGAAAGGCATATCAACTAAACAGTATTAAAAATTTATTAACCGGCGTTTTATGTGATGTGAAATTCTAATTTAATCAATTGAAAATGACCAATTTGTTTATATTAATTATTATTATTATTATTATTATTATTATTATTATGAGATTATATGAAAATATTGAATATGTCAATTGTCGCCTTATTTACACATTTTCATTTATATGCTATTTAAGAATATTATAGTAAATGAATTTGTTTGAAACTATATATATATATATATATATATATATATATATATATATATATATATATATATATATATATATATTATTCTGAAAGATGGTACATTAATTAATTCTGTAATATGTTTATACCTATTATTATAATTAATGATTTAGAAAAATTAATAACTTATACTACTATTTAATTTATATAGTACTTTTGTTTATTATAATTCATTGTTAATTTGTCATGTAAATATACATTCCTGACTTTTAATCTGATTGGGTTGATACCTTTTGATTATAAATATGCTATGGATAAAACCGTTGTCAAACCCTGAATATCCGTACCATATCAAACACAATTAAATTAAATCTATTCCTGTTAATGAAATCGATCACAATCATAACTAAATTATGATACCCTAATGACTTGGACAGAATTTCTTTTACAGTCCAGCTGAGAATAATGATATTTTTAACTTTAAAGATTTGTTTGACGATAGTAAACATAATTAATTATCGATTGATGAAATATAGGAATTAGGTACGAGGTTGTTCACATATTTCAACCCATCAAGATGACTTGTATAGAATAAACGATCGGATCATTAAGTATTTTATTTCTCTTAGCATAAGTAAATCTAGAATAAAAATGGTGAGTAGTAGTGATACATAGAGCTGATCATTACGGCATGATTACAGGATCACGCTGTATAGTATCTTAAAAGAATCAAGAATTATCTTTTGTGATATCAGGGATGTCCCTTACTATTGAGATTTCGGTTTCAATGAACGTACTCTGTCTTGAGGTGCAGAACTTTAAGGAGCTTAGCGAGAGAGGTCTTGCTACATACTTACTTACGCCTGTTACTCCCAGCATTCTCCAACCCACTCTGTCCAATTGTTGTTCATTCTTCTCATGTCTGCCTCCGTTTCTCGGAGCAATGTGTTCTTTTGGTCTTCTTCTCCTTCTTTGGCCTTGAGGATTCCGAGTGAGTGCTTACTTTGTGACGCAGTTGGGTGCTTTCCTCAATGTGTGTCCAATCCACTTCCAGTGCTTCTTTCTGCACTGAAACTGGACTTGTTCTCTCCCACAGTAGGTTGTTGCTGATAGTGTCTTGCCAACGGATCCGAAGTATTTTGCGTAGACAGCTGTTAATAAGCACTTGTATCTTGGGATGATGGCTTTCGTAGTTCTCCAGGTTTCCGTCCCATACAGTAGAACTGTCTTCACATTTGTATTGAAAATTCTGACCTTGGTGTTGGTTGACAGTTGTTTTGAGTTCCAGATGTTCTTCAGTTGTAAATATACTTCTCTTGCTTATCCGATCCGCGCCTTCACATCTGCATCAGATCCACCGTGTTCATCAATGATGCTGCCCAGATGTGTAAGGGTTTTTACATCCTTCAAAGCTTCTCCATCAAGTGTGATTTGATTGGTACATGTTGTGTTCTATCTGAGGCTGCTGCTACACTTGTTGTCTTCTCCTGCATTTGTTGTTGCGTGTGCGATAGAAAAACCAGGTCATCTGTGAAGTTTAGATCGTCCAGCTGCATCCTGGTTGTCCACTGTATCCCGTGTTTTCCCCAGATGCTGACGTCTTCACAATTCATTTGATCCATAGTGTTGCAATTCGGTCGGTAAACGACCAGTTCTTACGGAATCTGGCCTGTTGATCTCGAAGTCGGGCGTCTACAGAGCCCTTCAGTCTGTTTAACAATACCCTGTTGAAGACTTTTCTTAGTATTGAGAAGAGAGTGATGCCTTTTTAGTTCTCACACCTGCTGAGGTCGCCTTACTTTGGTAGCTTGATCAGGTATACTTCTTCCCAGTCTGTTGGTACTTGTTCTTTATCCCATATCTTGCTAATGAAAATGTGGAGTATCTTTGCAGTTACTGTTTCGTCTGTTTTCAGTGCCTCTGATGGAATGTTGTTTGGTCCCGCTGCTTTGCAGCTCTTGACTTGTCTGATGGCCATGCTGTTCTCTTCAACTGTTGTCAAGCCATTATCGATTGGAACCGTGGGTGCTGCATCAATGTTGAGTAGGTTTAGTAGGACTGATCGATCCAAGAGTTCTTCGAAGTGCTCTACCCACCTGTTTTGTTGTTCTTCAATGTTGGTGATTATCTTGCCTTCCTTGTTTTTCACTGGTCGTTCTGGTTTACGGTAATTCCCAGCGAGTTTCTTTTTGTATCATACAATTGTCCCATGTTTCCTTCTCTTGCAGATTTTCCTCCGTCATTGCTAAATCTTCCACATATTTACGTTTGTCGGTTCTGATGCTTCTCTTTACTTGCTTGTTCACTTCTGCGTATTCAGCTTGTGCCTTGGATTTCTCTGCTATTATCCGGCTGGTAGTGATTGCTGCCTTCTTGCTCCTTCTTTCTTGAATCTTATCCAGTGTATTAACCGTTATCCAATCTTTATGATGGTGCTTCTTTCGGCCCGGAACCTCATGACATGTTGAAGTGATTGCCCCTTTTATCTCTTTTTAGTTGCTCTCCATAGTAGTTTCTTCTCCATTGTGTAGATCATGAATGACCTGGAATCTATTGCTGAGGGCTATCTTGAATTTGTTGAGTTTGTCAGTATCCCGAAGAAGAGCCGTATTAAACTTTTACGTTATTGTCCGCCCCGTTGTTCAGTACTTCTTGAGTTTCAATTTACTCTTGGCGACCAGCAAGTGATGATCTGATGCTATATCAGCTCCTCTCTTGGTTCTCACGTCCTCCATCGTCCTCCTGAACTTTTTATTAATGCAGATATGGTCGATTTGGTTTTGCGTAGTGTGATTCGATGAAGTCCATGTGGTTTTGTGTATGCGTTTATGTGGGAATATAGTGCCGCCTATGACCAGTTTATTGAAGACACATAGGTTTGCAAATCTCTCACCATTTTCGTTCCTTTCTCCCAGTCCGTGTCGTCCCATGATCTCTTCATATCCGATGTTGTCTATTCCAACCCTGGCATTTAGACCTCCCATCAGAATGGTCAGGTCCTTTGTTGGGCACTTCTCGACGATTGACTGCAGCCTATCGTAGAATTGATCTTGGACGTCCTCATTGTAGTCGTCAGTAGGCGCATAGCATTGGATGACTTTCAATGAAACGCCGTCTTTCATTGTTTTGAAGGTGGCTTTGATGACTCGTGGTCCATCAGATTCCCATTCCATAAGTTCGTTTTGTGATTGTTTGAATAGCATCAGTGCAACTCCTTGTGTATCTGTGGCATTTTCTTTTTCACTGCCGGAGTATGAATTACATTTTCTGGTTAGCGCGTAGTGACCTACCTTTACGAAGAGAACGTGATTGGTATAATGGAAAGAATTATTATTATAACCAAATGTACCTGTTTGTTCAAATGTACCAAAAAGCACTCTCTTCCGTTATTTGTGACCTTGCACGAACTCTCGTACGCTCAGTAAACTCGCTTGTAGATTTTGGCACGATTTCGGTATTATTTCGATGCTAAGAGGCCGCCAGCAAATACACCATAACTACAACCTTCAACTGCCTTCTGATATTCAGCCTACGGAGAGGTCTAACCTAATAACTGGCACGTAGTCTATCGGTAGTGGTGATCACAGTCAAACTCAACTCAACGCCTACTACATTTGGTGAGTGATAACAGCGAACACGCCTCAACCTCTGTAAAATCTGCTGAAGAAGATAATCACGGTGGATCTACTATTTATCTATCCACATTTGTTGCACATTTCATAGTGATGCCTTTCAATATATAATATCCTGGCAACAACTTCTCGAAGTGGTGGATAACGATAGGAATAGTATTAATATAATAGACTCCGATATACAGGTTATCGATTTCCAACCTGTCTTTTATTCCCCATGATCCAGAAGTCTGGTTCGCGGCACGAAAGGTCTAAATCAAGATCCGCCGCTTAAGAAACCAGCGGCAAATATGCGCCTACGCTCTAGAAACTCTACCTGTGGATCATATTGCCGCCGTCTGTGAGGTAGTCCACAATCCCAATGTGTCTAATATCTACGACCGTCTCAAGGAGGCGATTCTCAGACATTTCCTACCATCGAGGGAAGAACGATTGAGGACGTTGTTAGCACGTTACCCCCTGAGTGATGCTAAACCAATCCACCACTTCACGCGCCTGCAATCTTTAGCGGGATACACGACAGCCGATTCCGAAATAGTTAAGGAATCGTGGTTCGAATCACTAGCAGCACATGCAGCCTGCGATTTCGGCCCTGTTCGATGACACATCACTTACCCAGGTTTCCCTCATAGCAGATAAGATATTAGCGAGGATTAGCACTCGGAAAACTATATAGTTGCCTCAACGTCACGTTCCAACGTAGATCTTGAGGCTGGTCGCCTTCCAGCTCAGGGTGATCAGGATTGCTTATATATAGCCGTCTCAAGTTCCGAGACTATTCCATCATATCAGAACCCCACGTTCTCCGAGCCAGGTCGCGGTCACGTAAAGCCGTAACCGCTCGCTCTAAGCGGGCACCTTCCAAGCCGCGCCAAATGGAGATTTTGAGGGCAAGCACTGGTTTTTGCTGGTTCCATCGGGCCTTTGGGTCCAGTGCTGGCCTTAATCGAGCCCCCTGGTCATACAGGGCGGGAAACTCCTGTGCCGGCGAGTAAATGCGGCTGTACTCGCCGTCCCCTCACCTCAGGTTGGTCGTTTATTTTTTGTGCACGATTATCACACTAACGCTAGGTGCCCAAGTTTCTTTCGTACCGATGGGTAACAGTAAGTCTCGAGCTACAGTGCTTCGTCTACGCACTGCGAATGGCTGTCATTCCTACCTATGGTACATGACAGCTCATGGTC